GATGTGTGAACTCGTGCAGTCAGGCTCATTGCACAATAAGAGAACAATTCGTGGACCGACATATTTGTGTGAGACTGTAAATGGTATAATTGATTCGCCAGAGTTACTCCGTCGGGCGGCGGAGAAAAGCTCACCGGAGAAAAGCTCACCGCAAAACCGGCAGATGCGGAGAAAAGCTCACCGATTTTTTAATTTTTTTCTTAGCTTTGCGGTTTCTGCATCACACGTGGCAATTTAACACAATTCTAATTCGTCACTTCATTAAAAAATATGTCCTTTTTATAATACTATTGAAGTTCAATAGGCATATTTACTAATTCCCCATAAATTAGTAATCAGCCATTTTTTTATAATAATGAAGCCGCAAATATAAAATCAGAGCACCGGACGCCGGTACGAAAGAAAACAATTTATTGACAGCTGACAGTGCGCCGTCGGTAAAGAGGTCTGTTCTTTGCAAGCTAATATGAATAGCGGTGTGTGAACCGCTTAGCTCCAAAGATTCTGTAGTGCCTGATAGATAAGGATGTGTTTGTTGATGTAATCAGTGTCGGCTACGCTGTTTTCTTCTGTTAATTTTACTAACAAAACTTTAGTTGCGAGAACAGCTTCGTACTGCCGTGTTCGTTGCTTTCATTCTGTCGTCGTTGTGTTTAGAAATTTTTATTTACAACAGTGGTGTCATGCCCATAACAAAACCAAAACCCGAGAACGCGCTATGTACAGTATATAGTCTTTCAAGTTGAACGGTTTTCATCATGTATAACGTTTACCAACTCGCCCAATTCGCTACCTTATAGACGACTAGTTCTTATATAGGTCACGAGTAACAACGGTGACGGTGTGCAGCTTTGAAGGTCATTTTCGCCGTAGACGGGCACTATCACACAAGGGCAACGTGTGAAAGCACCAGCACGACCTGCTAGAAACGTGCATGTCCGTGGAAGAACAAAACCTCGATATCCTTCAGACTGTAGTATCCTGTTTTCAAAGGTTAACAAAGGCTTTAAAGAGAATTTCAGACACCACGTTGTTGCGCATGCACCTTCGGATTTTCGGCATTTACAGTTTTGATTTTTAGGGTTTAGGCAGATATTATTAAGTTTTCGAACTATTTCCTGTTCTTCAAGTTCATAAAGTTTTCAGTTAGGCTTTCGTTGCCTAGAGAGTAAACCACAGAAAACACTCGGCTGCAATAATAAATTTGAGTGCAATTAAGCTTATCAAATAGTACAAAAAAGGACATTTTCTTTTTTACAAAGTTCGCGAATTTTAATGATAATAAATTGATATATGTTACGCGTTATCCAACAGCCTTCATATAAAAAGAAGAAGAAAAAATCGGTGAGCTTTTCTCCGCATACGCTCAATGGCCGGTGAGCTTTTCTCCGCATCCGCCAGTTTTGCGGTGAGCTTTTCTCCGGTGAGCTTTTTTGCCAGATTCACTCCGTCACATCTACTTGCACGTTTCCCGTACGTGTAGTAGACTTTATACTTTGTTTTACCCTACCGATTTTAACCATGCTGCGCCCACGACACGCCTACAACTGACGTATAACCATTTAGAGCAGATTTGTGGGAATGTCAGTCTTGATATTTTTGGTAAAGAGCCTGAATTTCGAAACTGTGTTGAGACTACTTGTTTTGTCCTAACACTTTGTTTTTATCCTCTTTAAAATCGTACTACTAATTGACTCACTGATAAGTGCACCACTAAAGAGGCGTTAAGCTGTAGGTGGGTCACTTAAAATAAAAACAGAACAAAATAAAACAAAGCACATTGAATGGACACATAATCAATAAAAACATGGTTTGTCGGGTTATTTTCACTGTTTTTTTTTGTTTTTTTTTTTCGGGGTACTTATGTCGTCTGCTTTGCAGTTCCGTGCTGTTAGCGCGCCTGTTTTTTGGTTCTGCGACGGTCGCTGGCCTGCGGAACGCGCATCGCTTTTGAGTCGAAAATGTCGTCAGCTAACGACGCCGGCTTTTGGCGTCAGTATGCTCGTTCGCTGACGGCAGTTGACGTCGCGACCGCTTGCACTATCTCTTGTCTCCTGTGCCAAGCGGGGCCTTATTTTTTTGAAGACCGGTGGCTTCTTAGCGTTTTCATAGGAGTTGAGCCTTTTTCGTATTTTTTTACTTTGTCCTCGGGTAAGTTCGCTCTATGCATGTTTTATACAAAAAATGCACCACTTGTGGGCAACACTGCACAAAATCGTAGCGCGATAGGTTAAGAGCCGATTTCTAAGGCCGATTTAAAGAGCCTAACCGCTATTTGAGACAGCCTGTAGTTTATAAAAACAGTCGCATTTGCGGAATTCGACTTCAAGCATAATAACAAATTGTTGTCCAACAACGGCACTTTTTAAGCTTCGAGATTGACACGAAAGTGTGACTGATTAAACTTGAAGATTTTTCTTCCGAGCAAGTCAATTAAACTTTTACATAAAGTAAAACAATTTAGACAAACACTATAATGCGCGATTTTCATAAAGGTCCATTTTTTGTAACTTTAGTCTCGTATATATGACGGCATCATCATACGTTATATGTATACTTCAACCTGAATTCTGAACATCTTGTTTTCAGACTTGTGCCATGGAGCCTATGGACACGCTCGACGTGGCTATGTTCTCACTCCGGTACGTCTATAAGACGACAGGCTGAGCTGAGAACGCCCATTTCTCTCACCGCCCCTTCCGGAAAGAGTTACGAAGAAACGAAAGCGCGAAATAGTTTCATTTGAATAAAAGTTCCGTACGGCGTTCTATCCTGGTTTGCACTGCCATCATTGCAGCTAATTCCTCTAAAGCCAAAGCGATCGATCTGTGTATTTGGAGAATTTACTCTGCTTGGCAGCCTTTCTTCCCGACGGTACAGCTTTTGTGTCTCCAAGAGTGATTTGGGGGGTTTCCCATCATTCTGACATAAAGAAAGCATTGAGCGAGGGGAAATTACGGACTTCGAATGTATCTGAAGAACAATTTACGCAAATGTGTCGGTATCTGGACGAGTATCCTGCAACCGTTTGCAACTGATTACTACTAAAGAATATATTGACGATATAGAGGTATCGGGAAGCCCTGAACCCGTTCGTAAAAAGTCTGGTAATGCTATAAACGACTACGTCTTTCATATAGTGCGTAAACGTGGTCTCGCAAATATTACAGAAAAACATTAATTTAGATATACGCAGATCAGAAGTGTTCCAAGGCTACGTGATAGATGGAGCCAGTGTTCCGGTGTGTTTTCTCGTCGTGCGCAATCACAAGTGACTGCTACGTGATCGATCACGCTCAAACTATGGTGACTAGAACGGGTCTCCGACTGGTGTGTTTTTACCGCGTTCAAAAATGTGGTCCCTCTATTTCCATCTGATTAACGCCATAGAAGTGTCATGCTGTCGCCAGTCGCGATCCTGGCGGCGTCCCAAGAGCTGTGGTGTATGTGGCAGGCGGCTGTTCGGCTGCAGGTCTCCAGTGTGGCAGTCCATGGAAGCTTCGGCAGCCGGAAGTTGGGACGCCGCGACGACAGTGACACTCGCGTTCGGTGGCGCTACTCGCAGCCTTCTCGTTAGCATTCCCACGACCGACCGCCAGGATCGAGATATGCAACAGAGCGACACTTCGGCCTCTGTGACGTCATTGAGTGCCGCTTCGGGACCACTTTTTTGTGTATGAGCAGGATAGAACGCTAAGACTCCAGTCGAAGTCGCGCATCAGGCAACATACTCAGAAGCAAATGTGTGAACCCACCTTAGCTCTGATTTTCTGACTGTGGGTGCACTTGAATATTTTAAAGTTTTGTTTTTACGCAGTTTCTGCAGAATATCTCGAGAGATGAATGCAGTAGGCGGAACGTGTCATTAGAAGATACAACGGTAGCTGTCATCAGCGCTGAGGACAATCATAAAAACTTGAATAGAAAACCATCCTTAAAAAAAAAGAGCTTATCCTGCAAGGTGAAGCTCGTGCCGTCTGCTCAAACAATTATTTTATTCAGTATATAAATTAGCTAACAAATGTAGCGGTAGCTATATTCTTAGAAATGCACTTCTACACGCTTCGCGCGAATTGAGTGGGTGAGCATCATTGAACTTCTTTTGACTAGTGTATCTATAGTTAAGAGTATGAGCGTTATACCTTTCTAACGATCCTGTAGTCACAATTATTAAAAAATGGGATGCAATTTTGACCGCGTAATGCGTGCGAAGTGGAGTGCTTCGACTCTCTCCCTGTTGCTGGCAAAGCTGATTCGAGTGAACTAAATGAGGTCAGCCACACACGCCTCAAACTGTCTTCGTGCAACTTTTTCTCTTATCCCCTCACTCCACAGGAGTGAAAATAAAGACGATTATTATATTTAATACATTCACACCGATCCGATGTAAACTCCAGCTAGAGATGCAAGTGTACATCAAAAGCTTATTCAAGACGCTTTTTTTTTTTTTCGAAAGAAATAAATATAACCTTCGTCAAGGCTGACATGAATACCAGTTCTGAGATTACAGGCACGACAAACGTTTATTATTATTCTCCGTTTCAGATGAAGCCCGATAGCTGATGACGCTACGATGCAATGGCGTCAGTGAAGTAGCTCCAAAAGTGCTTCGTCACTGCGCTCCTTCTTCGTTATGCGTTTTCCATCACCGGCAAGACCAATCAAGCCCATACAAAAACCGCAATATCGTGGAGCTTGATTGGTTCTCTGTCTTAGTGTGGAACGTAGTATATATAAACATTTTCCTTCGAGCAAATAAGTACAACCTTCTTCAACCCGCTAGCGGGTCTTCTTTCCCAGTAATCTGTAGTTTACCACAAAAAAAAAAGAAAAAGAAACTTGCAGGTTGTTATTGTTTATACCTAAAATTTCGTAAGAAAAAGTATTGCAGTCTGTCTACAACAAACGCTATGTGCTGCTTGCTTCTGATTTCATAAAACGTTGTGTCCCAGTAAATGTTTCGACGAATCTGCCTTAATAAAACATATAATGCTCCTCTACTAAGTCCATATTTTTATTGTGTAGCTTCCTGAAGAAATGTTGACTGGAGATATCCTCAGGACCTGAAAAAAAGAAAAGAAAAAAGAAAGAAAAAACACTTGCGTACACCTGTTTTTTTGTTGTTGTTTTTTTCTTTTTCCGCCGGCTGTTTAAACGGACGCTCTGGACCGCGCGAGCGTGATTTTTCCGACGAGACAGAGCGCGACCCTATCATTTACGCTCCCAAACGCTTACAAAAACGCCAGCCGCTACGTGTGTAGCTGTCCTAACAAAATTCGCTTCCAAATATGAGAGCCTTTTACGTTCTCTTTGGCAGATTTTGGCTCAAACGTTTAGACGAATGCCGGGACCACGTATCCTTTATTATAACTCATGTCCGACGGGAGCCGGCACTGCGATCCAATGAAGTAGACCAAGCCGCGCCAAACCACATCTTCAAGACGCTCATCGTCCTTGTGCGATTCTTACCATCCACAAAACAAATAGCGCACAGTAAAGGCGCCGCAATTAGCGGCGAGATGTTTTGGTGGCGCCCTCCTAAGGTTCCCCCTTGTGACGTCATTACCTTGCGAAGAACAAGTTCGATGGTGTTTGTAAATAGCATGGTGGAAGCCTGAAATCATTGCGCTCTCAAAGCAACACTGCCAACACCGTCGAAATTAAAGTTCTTTCATTGCTCTTAATTCCGTCGATGGTATACCCTTTCCGACGTCATAGTCCGCTTTTGGGCCAATCGTGGAAGGCCGACCACAGCGACGCTTTCGGTTACGCACGTCGCCAATATTGCGCTTTTTTTTTTTTTTTGTAAGTGCCGGTTACAGTTAACCTACAAACACGACGATCGCCGTGACGATTAATTTATGGCGCTGCTTGCAAGTATTAACATAAGCCCAACGCTGCGTTTCTTAAGCTATCGGCAGCGTTACTAGAGCTCTCAGTTGGGGAAGCTTACCCTTGAAACCCGGACCGCTCGCGTTTAGAGAGACCAAACTAGACACGATTACAAAAGTCAAATTTGAAGGTTTTACGTGCCAAACCTACGACGGGCATCTGGCACGCCCCAGCGGAGGGCTGAGGATTAATTTAGACCACCCGGGGATCTTTTGACGTGCAACCCAAAGCTCGGTTACACGGCGCCTTCTCCGCAATAAGCCTCCGTCATATTGCGGGCACCTCGGTCGGGATTCGAACCCGTCACCTGGGGATCCGTAGGCCGGCGCTCTCGCCTCGGAGCCACCGAGGCGGCTACACGATTACAGCGCCGCACTTTAGCGGCGAGTCAAAACGCGAAAGCTGCTTTATACCGCAAGGTTGCACTGCGAGATGGCGCCACCGGTTCTTGCACGGTTCGACCGGATCGATACGTGCAGCCGTCCAGTTTCCAGAGTGGCCGCTGTGGGAGAAATGGCGGCGCTGCGATCGCGTCTAGTTCAATTCTCGAGTACGGATCGGAGACACCTTTTTTTTTTTTTTTAAGCTGGCTCCTGTGACAGTTTCTTATCCGAGTTAGCTGTCGTTGACTACACCACCACAATCACCGCCATTGTCGTCATCATCACAACCATTTACACAGACGCACTGGGTTTCTGGCAAATTAAAGCAAAAAACACTACACGCAAGATGGCATCAATTTAGCCGATAAAAACAAAAACGCACACACTGATAAAATAACTCGCTAAAACTCTTTAGCCACGCCTGTATCAAAGCAATACTTGAGATAATATACCTTTTTCTAAACAGCATCAGGCAGCACTGGCTGTCGCCATTTCTTGGGCACGAAGCGTATGATTGAACCCGAGTCCTCACCGAGCGGTGACGCAGCAATCGGTTCTCGATACGAGCTGAGCCGAGCTCACGCCGAACCATGACGCAGCGCTCGGGTCCAATACATGCTCAGAGTACGTGCCCGAGGAATGGCGGGCTCGGATAGTTGGCGCACTAGCTACCAGATGGCGCGCACTCTTGAGAAGGGCTAGTCGATAGCCTTATTTTAGTCAAAAATACTCAAATAATTCTAACTGAAACAACAACAAAAAAAATGCCATATGCTGCAGTGGCGCAATTATTTGGGTTCGACTGTTTTTCGTTTTTATTCATTTCTATACTCACTTCGATCTCAGAGTCATGAGTAAACGAAATATCTTTCCTTCCTGCGCTGCTCTCCAGTGAGACATTAGAGACTTCACGAATCCCGTGCACTGTCACGTCTTGAATGGTGAGCATCCAGGAATCATCGGGACTTTGGATTTCTTTCATGTTTATGGACATCTCAAAATCTTTCCCAGCCTGCGAAATAAGAATATTGGCACGTATTACACGGGAACAAAACTTCTTTGTAAAACGTTAGTTTTGCGCTTACCGTTTTAAAAGCGAACGTTCCTTTAATATGAGGCGCATCTCGAATGTTCTCATCTGCAAGGTAACGGCCAAGTTACGGTGCCGTTGTCAGGTGAGTGGTCGTAAACAAGCTCGCAAATCCCACCAGGACACTGGCCTATGAAAGCAGCTGATTTCTGGTATTCCTCTTAAGCGTGATTTGTATTTAAAGCCTCCCCAAAAGGCAAGCTCTAAATATGCATTTCTAGAGGTAAGGAACACTCACGGTACGTGATTCCGTCGTCCCAGTACAAAGCTCCATCCGCTTTACTTTCCCTGTCTGGGGCAACAAAGAGACTTAGTGCCCTGATGGCCCTGAAACAGAAGGCTTGAATGTACGATGAGCAAACAAAATAAACAATGCTTCATATCGGTATTTTTTAGGAAACAAGCGTGCGCGATGCTGCGTTTCTTTTCCGTTGTTTTCGTTTGTGTATGTGTGTGTGGGGGGGAAGGGTGGTACAATGGTAATGATGCTTGAAAGATGTCGTAGATGCCTTGTTGGGGCTGCGTGAATCTACGCTTAGACTTCACGCAGCCTCAAGGTATCTTTGGTGTACCTGTTAAGAAAGCAGATTTGTGATTTCAATTTACTCAGTTTTAAGACATCTGACCAATGGGCATCACAATTATGACAGAGACTTCTTATACGCCTGTTGCACATAAAAAGAATGCGCTGACATATCGCTACCTCGTCGATTCACAACAAATTTATCTTCCCAACAAAACGCTACTACTCTCTTCTGGTATGTAAATCTCAAATAAAGGGTTGCCGTGCAAACACGTAACTGTGTTGTTGCTTTTCCGCCGAAAAACTATAGTACACATCGTCCAACCCTTAGTATCCGCCAAAATGTCGCGCCAGCTGTCCAAATGGACAAGCTATAAAAGTTTAACAACTTGCAGTTATCTCATTCGAAAGTTAAAAGTTACTCTTTTTTTTCTAATTGTGACTTAGAAAATGGAATCCCTTTTTTGGGTAGCCGACGCCATTCACCTTCGTGCATGCTTTGTCTTTGCAAGCCGCCGTTTCCTTATTGAAACTTTTTGAAAATCGTTTCTAACTTATGTATAATATAACGCCACTAAAATACGTTGAGAGCTCGAAAAGAAAGACCGAGAGCAAGAATCAAACTGCTCTTTATCCGTTTCCTGAAATAGGTAACAGAATTTTTTTTCAACTTTGGCATCTGGCGCTAGCGCTACGTTTTGGACCCAAACTGCGAGTTCGGCGGCGAGTAGCTTATTTTTGCGGTGATAAAAACCAATGCCATTTTATTTTTTCCCGCGAATACTGTACAAGTAGTTTTCAAACCGTTCCATTTCAAGGACCGGTTCGAAAATCGTTACGCGAGCCGTCCTTCAAAATTTCGGTACTAATACAATAAAGCAGTGCCTAGAGGCCTTCTTGTAAACAATACTGCACCTCCTAGGGACTGCCTGTCACATAGTTACGCATAAATGAATATCTCAGATTTGCTAAAATAGCGCCTGAATTGGAAGAAAACTCCCCAACAGGTTAGGTACGGCCGAGAAAATTTAGGGGCTTGTAAGACATACGAAGGCACTTCGGGGACTCATTGGTACCGATAGAAACCCGGGTTAAAACACAACGCTCTAAAAAAATCCAAAAAAAAAAAAGAAGCATTACTTTTTTCAATTTTTACTTACGGTTGCTCAGGAATATATGTTGGAACAATGTACCCCCCTCTGATATGGACATGGGCTTGACTTTCGGAAGCCGGGAAAATGATGGTTTGTCCACTGGATGCATTGATGATACTTCCCTGGAATATGTTCATGCACACGCCGTGTGATTGATATTTTTTCTGGTAGACGGCAGATTTTTTATTCAATAAGACAGCATTAAGGCAGGCGTTCTTCTTCACAGTTCAACCAACCGCAATCATAATCACCATGCGGCGCGTAAGGTTGGAGATTCGTACAAATCTCATTTCAGAAAGACGCGCGCTCCTGCGAGTCAACCACAGATAAGAGCTTTCGGAAATGAAACATTAAAAAAAATAGTTTACGCGTATGTTTTATTTTTTTTTATCCACTACAATTCAAGCTAAATGTGCAGAATGTCCTCATTATGCCTTTCACGGGTACCACGAAGGAAACCTTGCCAAAGAACTGACGGAAGCTTGGTTCTGCATTCTATACTGCCTTGCAGGTGTTCAAATTTTTCATTAATTTGAGTTTTTGTTACTATTACCAATTATTCACACTGTAATCGACAAAATGCTAGGTATTATAACTTTTTTTCTTAAAAACGCACTCAATTTAAATAGGAAACGACGAAATGTTTGAGGCAATAAAATCTGTGCTGCAACTCACGTTGTGAAAGTTGTACCAGATGCCTGGGGGAAAATATGCCTCCACTTCAGGGCCCTGCATTGAGAGTTGATTGAAGTAACAAAGCTCATAAATACATATCTGGTTGAAATTCGACTTAGAAACCTTACCTTGTCAACTCTGGGAGACACCAGCACAGAAGAGCCCCACATAAACTGGTAGCTAACGTCAGCAGCCTTTTTGTCCTTGGGAAATCTTTGAATGGAAAATATTAAAAAAAAAAACATTAATGAAAAGAATGTATTTCACTTCAACTGTCACTTAGCAAAATTTTCTAAAAATAAACCCTCGAAGGCATTGCCAATTCTGGTCGGAGCGTATTAAACACCACCGCAAAGATAGTAACTATACAAATATATTTGAAAAAAAAATTGTCAAGTCTGCGTTAGAGCATCTATTTCTGCACTGATATTAAAGGGGCACAAAACGGGATTATGATATCTTTATGGCGTAAACTCCACTCAGTCTGTGCGCCCAAAGCATCATAGGCAACCCAAAACTAAAATTATGCTTGTCTTTTTTTCCCGTTAAAAGGGTGACAAAACATCGCGACACACCATTTTTCCGGTATATTGACGCGCGCGGGGCCAAGCAAGCAACGCTCAGTCACAACTTCTAGTCGATTCGTTCTTATTCTAAATTGACACTTAACTTTTATCATTTCGTCCTACTTTCTTCTTCTCGAAAGTGCTTGTTCATTCTTCAGCTTCAGAACGTTCGATGCTGGAGTGTTCTGGGTCTAATTTTCGCGATGCCGACTCGCACTAGATAAGGAGCTGCGCGTGACCTTTGTCGAGTCAGTCTCGCTCTCGCTTGCTGTTACGTCTCCAGATCGCCGTCCGCTTTTCTGCTGTTTCGACGCTCGTTCTTTATTTTGTTTGGCACAAGTTCGCCCCATTAAACTTTCAGTTTGAAACGGGAATTTCGCCGCATCTGCTCCTGTCATTCGCGACAAGATAAATCAGGAAAGAGACGTAAGGGGATGATCGGTATCGTTTTTAATACAGGAAAAGGCCTCTCCGGATAGTAGTTTGATGTTTTCTAAACTTTTACGGCGCATACACTGAGCTTGAGTCATAGAAAGGCGATCTCAAACTCAATGTTCTGACCCATCTAATAGCCCAAAAATTTTTATATTAAGTGTTCCGATCACAGGTATAAGTGCTTGGCAGTTTGTCTTTGTGAAATTAGTAAAAGCTTTGTTCCGTTTCTTTTCTTTTTAAATTTGATTACGCAACTGATATGACGACTATCTACCCTTAAGAGGTGACTGACTCACTCGAAAAAAAGAGGCCGAACGGCAGGGACTCCCTCCGTGTGAGCTTCATGAGACAGCGTGTAGAAATAAGGTATCAACTGATGCCGCGTCGCGTGGCAAGTTGAATTCGCGTCGAGCAGTGTTGCCGTTGTTGCGTTGACCTGCACAAAACCAACACGTTATTTTTATCCTACAGTTTATAACAAAACGTGAGAAGGGCCCCTTAGCCGATTAGCGGGTCAAGTATAAAGTCGGCTATTAATTATTTTTGTATTTTAATTGTGGTTTCTGCTATGAGAAAGCAGTGCATGGCTTGCCGGGATAGCTAAACTTAAGGCTAAATTAGAACCGAGTACCTTCACCGCATTAGGTATCTCCTAATGCGGCGTTTGTACGAACGTATTCTACGTGGGATAATACGTTCGAACAAAGCAACTCATAAGACATTATCAATCACGTTAGTGTTTCTATAATCAGAGACAGCTTAAGAACCGTAGGTCGTAGTGAGCCACGGACATCTTATCATCGGTCCTCGGCCAATGATATCGTTGCATTACCCGATAAGAAGGCCGATGAACGAACCACGTGGAGAGACGTGTATTGATAAGTAGCCACGCCCTGAGTATCTTAATGTCGGTTCCTATTCGCGTCTCCATCGAACTATAGGGGGAGCTCTGGGAAAGCAAAAATGGTGGAAGAAAGGAGGTCGTTTTCGTCGTTCAGCACGCGGACCTCCGGAAATGTCTTGCATTGCAGCGTAAAATCGGCCTTACATATGAAAACCAAGCGATTTTTCGCCGGTAGAAACCTTCGTCTAGTCAGTGCTTAGTAAAGACACGGCGGAAGCATAAAATTATAGCTGGAAATGATATTTGTTTCTATGCTGCCTACGAGAACCAAGCAGTGGTAGCAGACGACTGAGTCGAAACGACCTCCTCTCCTGAACTTTTCGGTGTTGCCACTACGCGGCATCGGTTTTGCTGGAGTCGCCAATATTTGTAAAATACTTATGACATAGCCTGCAGAAAAAGCGCGCAAGCATGCATATCTACCATGAAAAGACATTTATTAATTTTCCTATTTCGTCTAATGAATTTTTAGTTGAACATATTATAGACGCCAGAAAAACATTTCCATCGAGATTAATTTTGTTTGCTGTCTAGAGTCATCTTCTGCACAAACGTTAAAGCTTTCTGTGGCATAACGGTTTTGTTTTGACTAACATAAAAGCAATTTCAATCACAAATTTCGTAGCACGTCGTTGTAAATTTATGCGCGATACACACTAAACAAAATAATAGAGCAGGTCGCTCCTCGTACCCGAGGATTCTTAGAGACAAACGAAGACTGTCGCACCAATTCCTTTCGACAATTCACATACCTGCTTAAATTCTTCCTTAAACGTAAATTAAGGAAGACGGCTATTTTATCTTGTGCTAACATTGTTATGGCGGACTGTCACAAAGTTACAAACAAAAGCATCTGCCAGACCTTTTGACATCTTCCGAGGGATCATTTGAAGGTGTTATAAGTGAAACCAACAAATAGCATCTGGCACGCCACAGTGAAGGCCTAAACACTATTGTCGACCAACGGGGCATCCTTTTGATCTGCGGCCGAAATCTTTATCACCAAGGCGCCTTCTCCGCAATAAGCTTTCATCAATTTTAAAGACTTTACAAATGAAGAAAAACAGCGAGCAAATAATGATTGCAAAGAATATCGAACTAAATAGGACGATCGCTGTCTGGTTTAGTTCCTTATTTTACGTCTGATCTTTGCGCGCTGTTTTGAATTTGCGCATTTTGCACCTCGATGCCACACATTCAAAAAAGTCCATTTGAGATTTCCAAAAGCTTTCTCACATCTGTGTCTGACAGGCTTGAGACCTCTGCTTCCATCTCGGCCGAGGCCTCGTTTATAAAGAGCGGAAAGAAGGCTGCTGCATGCATCCATGCCAAGCACACGCCATCTAGGTTGGATGTGCACCTGCACGAACCACCAGTCTGCAATCAAGAATTATGGAAATGCCATTATTTCTGAGGGAGAACGCAAGTAACAAAATATGCAATATAATATTTTTTTGTTTAGTTTAGAATCTGCATTTTCAATTTTGCACTGTGTTTGTAGTTATTTTTCACTTTGGCACACCTTACGTCAAAGTGCCTCCACTACACATAAAAGCTTAATGAGCACAACAAATAAACTAAATGAAAACCGGCGACATGACTACATAAGACCGGCAGCGATATTGTCTTATTGAGCAAAATAATATTTATATATTTATGTTTGGCAACTGGGAAGACGGGCGAGGGGATCTGGCGTGATATGGCCTGGATATGACTAATTTCTTCGCGATAAGTAGTTAACTTCCATCGTAAACCGGAGACACGGAAAAATAAAAAAACGGACAAAACAACAACAAGTCTCAATTTGAGACTTGTTGTTGTTTTGTCCGTTTTTTTATTTTTCCGTGTCTCCGGTTTACGATGGAAGTTCTTCACCAGCTCGCCTGTGCTTTTACCCTTTCTTCGATAAGTAGTTAAGTTTGGTGTAGTAACAAACAGGGCATGTTCTCAATAATTCAATGCTAATAACTAAAAAATGCAAAATATATAATAATGTTGACACAGTTCACTCTCGTTCAAAAACTAAAATAACACCACAAGGGCTATAACTTTATGAAACAACGCGTAGCCAGCAGCCACATGTTCATCCAGCGCTTGGGGTCCGAACCAAATTCAGCACTAACCGTTACCTTATTCAAAGTTATAAATGATTTTCTGATATTACGAAAATGGCGGCCGACCGAATTCTCGAATACGTGGAGCTCCCTGGCGCCCCAGAAACCGGAAACGGGCCTAAATGAGCCCCATTTATCCTTGAAATTGTCAGAAAATCACTTATAACTTTTGAATAAGATTGCTGATCCCGCTGAAACTTTGGCGTCTGATTGGAACCCCTATAGCGCTACATTTGGACGAAGAATCAGTGTTGGGTAATGCATTTTTATTCTAGCGGTTAAATAAACACTGTACATTTCTTTCGGGGACACCCTGTATGCAACAATTAAAGGCTTCAATGCGTCAGTAAAACGTACTTACATGAGGCACGCCTAACATTGAGAACTCGACGGTTTTGACCACCGCCTTTTTAAGATTTTCCCAGGTGCAGTCGGGCTCGTGAAACCAATGTCCAGCATATTGTCCGGATCCCGAAAACGTTGAACTACTCAGGATGACCTGTCTTTCGTTTTTCCTTGCACCCAGGAGCTCCAGACATCTGTCGGTATAACATGCCTTCACGCGTGAATTTATCGTTCTACACATTTACGAAGAGCGCTAATATATGTAGCCAAACATAGTGTCGAGGGTAGGAGTAGGCCTCCCTCTTCCTGATAATGTCCAATCAACATTACTGCCACTCCTCAAGGGCGTGTTCGGAGAGGAGTGGTAGCAGAGTTGCGGACATGGCGCAGTACAGAATGTCTATTTTTTCTCCGCCTCTCTCTCTCTCTTACTTTCTGTCTCTTTATCTTTATCGCATCAAAGTAAACCACGAAAAGTGGTTATATGGGGAACAGGCTATTGGCCAACTTGCTGTTTACAAGCAAGTAATAGCGTTCGCGCACACCAGGATTGGGCACTCCGCGTGCAGAAAGACAAGATTCGCGTTAGGCGAACCGTCTGCGAATGCGCCGAGCCGCCAGCAGCGCCACCTCAAAGGTTGCCGTTTGTTTGTTAGCCTATTTGAAGCGTGCAACAAGACAGCTGGCGCAACGGTGCGGCTCTTAACAGAGGCATTTCGCAGTGAACATGGCCGGACTCGCATAGACAATCTGTGTAGAAGCCAAGCTTCGTTTCTAATGGAGGTCAGTTTACTTGAGCATAGCGCTATACAAAACATTCTGGACCACACTCGGCGCGAACTTTTTTTTAAGCGAGACCCAATATTTGAAAACAGAGATCTCCTTCATACGCCGGCGAAAGCCGCCGCTATCATACCGACGCCAGTATACGTCTACTTGATCCGCCGGTGAGCGAAGAGCAATCTGATAGTAAGAGGAGCGAAAAACACTTTTTGTGCGGATTGTAGCAATTACTGTCACCGATGAATGTCGCGCCGTAGTGATTTCCGGACCGCCGAGCACACAAACGCTTCGTAGAGGCACATTCCAGCGAATGTAAGCGGAAAGCATGGCGGTGCGTTGCCGTCGCTGCCCCTTACAACTGCGGGACACGCCATTGAACGCGAGCTCCGAGCAACTCGTGCAGGTTGAATGACGTGAAAACAGATAACAGAGCAACACCGGACGCGGACATTTCTTCGAATTTCAAGGTGCCACAGCTTTACTCACGTAGTAACGAGACCGAAGGCCGCGGGTAGGCGCAGAAGCGGCTAGGACGCCGCGGTCGCATTAGAAGAGGTCCGAGCGGGTGGCGCTTCCTTATGCAACGCGACGCAGACGCTGTCGTTGGTGGCACTGCCAGTCAGCTTCCAGATTAAAGCGGCGCGCCCCCTTTAAGTGTCGGTTGCAGACTCCCAATAGACGCTGAAGGCTTAAAAAGCGCTAGGCCTATTATTTTTATGTTTGTTGCTTTAAGTTTCGTTGTTCGGCCTTATCGACTAATACCGAAATCCCAGTACCTGCAGAGCGATTATTGGCCAGCTCTATCGGGTGTCTCAATTAGCGGCCAGGCTCTTTAAATCGACCGCAAAATTCAGTTTATTAACCTATCGCGCTATGCTTTTGTGCAGCGTTGCCCACAGGTGGTGCATTTTTCTATAAAGTTTGCAAAGAGCGAACTTACCTGAGGAAAAAGTTTAAAAAAAGAAAAATGCTTCACTCCTATGGAAACACAGCGAAGTCACCTGTTTTCAAACGATAAGAAGCCCTATTGATTGAAGGCCGATGGCTTCGCTCGATTTCCATTTGAGTTAAGACTTTCTCTTTCTTTACTTTTCCCTCAGGTACGTTCGCTCTTCGCAAATTTTATAGAAAACATGCACCACCTGCGGGCAACGCTGCGCAAACTCGTAGTGCGATAGGTTAAGAAACCGAAATTTGTGGCCAATTTAAAAAGCCTGGTCACTATTTGAGACACCCGATAGAATAGCGTACGCAAAAGCTATCTGCTCGCAAATAAATGGCGTCGTCGCTCACCATGCGCCATTCCTACACGCGGTTTGGTGCGTTTGCAGTGGCGACGACGCTGTTCCACATGCAGACGTATTCTAAAACTTGCTATTCGGAAGCCCAGGACTCGATACGCCCTGCGTTTCTGAGGCTGTCAGTGGTTGTGCATAAGTATCTGTCGCGTACAGAATCAAGCGCGTAGATAGGTTAGTTAAACATGCTCGCATCCAACGATGCATTTGTTCGTCCTAAAAGCTTGCCCGCCACCATATACACTCAATGATCCGCCAAAATTCCAGACATACCTCCACGTTGCTTTAGAATGGCGGTACCCATACATGTTATGAAGACTGTAGTGCGTCCCTCCATCCTGCATCGCATGACCGCAAATGGTGTTATCAAACATATTCTTCTTTTGGCCTGAAAGTAACGAAATTCAAACATTTTTAGAAGGGTATTCTTCTCCTTTCATAAATCTGCTCCTTCTTTGGAGGAGGGAAAACTCTGCCCGCTTAGCTGGCTTAACACCGGATTGTTTTCTTTGTGAAGCGCATGTAATTTCCCACCTCTATTTCAGCCGATCAAATTCAGGCATCATTATATTCCACTGAATATATATAGAGCGCAATAATACGATATTAATTAGTGTTAATTAGAACCTCAAGAACGTATACGTTCTATTTCTATACCTAATATTACTTATTTTTCTTTTCTTTTTTTTGCATTGTTTTCTTCCGGACAACTTTTGCCATATACCTTGAATTACTGCCCAGTATATTTAAAATAACAGCCACATTCCCTAGTATGGTAATAGCGTCGGACTCCATAACGCCCAACCAACCTCAAACATTTCCTGGTTATATAAAAACATTTTATTTCTCAAACAAACACAAACAAATATTCCGCAATCTTTCCCTGAGCACCTGACTCCATCTAGATTCAGATCTGCATAAGATAGCATGAAAATGATACACTACATTAAGACACGCTCGCATCAACAGCTATAGAATATTGTACATCATTGTTTGAAACTGAGTGTAGACGATCCCGCAATCAGTGTCGGTGCACCTACGCCATACTATCGGCTGTACTTTTGCACAGCTAGATTGCACACCAAAGAGAAAGTGCTCTGCTTAAAAGAATACCCGGGAGTTTCAGCCGTACCTACGGTGTAAGGGGGCCGATTCCACTTGTTATCAGGACAGCGTCCAAGGGTCTGGTTCACTTGAGTCGGATAACTCGGCTCATTGAGTTCCTTCACGTAATAGAACAATGTATATTTGAAGGCATATTTTTTTCACTCCATCAAAGACTTTCTAACCAAACATTGTTCATAGCACTCAGTCTTCCGGCACGAGAACGTAAAAATTACAGTTATGTAACATAATCAAATATTCTATAAGCCGTTAATACGGCAGATCAGTACGTTATTCTAAAGCCTACAAATAAAGAACACACAAGAAATAAATGCCACCGGAAAGGGTAAGAATTTTATCACTCGTTGGAAATAAATGCATGTTTCAAATCGTATGCGTTGAACCTGTCTGGATGAACTTGTTTTATTTTACTGCATAATGTGAATTTATATCTCAAGACCTCACTTCATTTAACATAAAGTTTTGTTCTAATTGTTTTGTGCCAGCTAATCGTTGCCGCACCTGTCTCAATCTTTATTTATAAATCTGAATTCGGTGTCCACGAGTACACTACTCATATCTACAATGAGGTGTAACCAAAAAAAAAAAAACTTTGCATAATAGGAGTTTTAAATGGTCTCCGCAATTTAAAGTTCCCGGAAATGGGTTTGCTTACCAGAACAAGTCCATCAAACCCAATCCTGTCCTGAAGCAAGCTGCACCTGGTTTTCCAAAATTCCACAGCTTTTTCATTGGTGAAATCAATGAAGCCAATATCGCCAACCTATCGCCAAAAATGCCAAACTATCATCTTCAGCGGTAAACCAAAATTTATCTCGAAAGCCACAATATAACCTCGAGTTTCTACAGCGAAGAAAATACTCTTAGGGCCCTTCTCTCCTGAACTGCGAGGGGAAGCACATTTGGGCAAAGTGAAAAAGTGGAGAGGACCTGAGAAGGGAGGATGTCAGGACAACTGGAAAACGTGAAATGTGTACGTCGGCTTTTAAATCAAAATACACGTTTCTGTTTCAGTAGCACCGCGGCATGCATTACCTGTAGCCAAAATATGGTCACAATTCGTTTTCTAGGGTCGCCAAACGTAAAAGCTAAGGAAATGTATTTCTGCCATGTCCATGTCCAAGCATCGCCTCTAACAACGTTCTGCGGTTCTGGCCCTGAATCACAGCATTATATTTTGTACATAGTGCCTTAAGAAAAAGGCATTTGTCAGTGACAGCTTAAAGAGGGCGAGGCGGGCTCCCTAGCATCTCGTTATTCCTAAACAGCACATGGGTTTGTGGTATTTCCCAGTATGAACGACTAAGAGGTAACCATGAAGCAAAGAGTTTCTCGTAATAGACCTTGCGTTTCTTAAACTTGCATTGACTGTACTTAGCGTAACTCGACTCTGGTCACGTATTTTACATATATGCCCCACTGTTTCGTTCACTCGGGCGGAGCCTGACCCAGGAGCGCTGATTTCATTATATCTAGGTAACAAATTGAAATGCCCCCCACCCCCCCCCCCTCCCTAAAGGCTCCAATTTCAGCCCTATGAATTTGAAATGGTTGGATGTGTTTTGCACGCAGCAGGGCATTGTAAGCGGGGAAAAACGACTGCCGGTTTTTCCTATCATCGTTTTTTTTTTCTATATTAGACGTTTGTCATTGAAACTATTAGAGCTGCGGAAGGTAATATTTTAGGGCGGCAACCGAAGTAGTAAATTATGGTGCCTTGCAATACTAGGTCACACTAAACTGCAATCATGTGCCCATGCCGTGTTCGCGCTCTCTTGCGCAACATACGCACGTAGTGTTTGATTCCGAACGGAAATGTCTTAAGAAACAGAAAGTTCATATTGCTTCCAGTGTAAATTTCGTTTTCTATAAAATTAAAAAAATTATTGCCCAAGCGAAAACTATATTTCTATGGCCGCTGAAACCGTAAGAAGTGCAGGTCGTGGTGAGTTTCAAACATATTCTTATCGCTCTGGGGCAAATAAAATCGCTGCATTGGCCAATAAGAAGGACGAAACAATAATTAGGAAGAAGTTTGTACACAACAAACAACGCCATGTGTTTCTTAAAAGGTCAGTAACTTTACCAGCATTTCAGAATGAGAACTATAATTCCTTACTGTGCTCTGGGATCGATTGGAATTTGTGAGCAGGAAAGATTTAACCTCGTCCCTTGAGGAGTCTTCCAGTAATACAACAGGATCCTGAAACCAAAAAAAAATGCAACACGATTTATCATTTATTTTTTTTATATATTCTTCTCATTAATAGTCGTGCCTTGCTACTATAGTGACACCTCGCATTATGGACGAAATCTTCGGCGACCGATCTTTCCTCACGCTATTTTACCCCGTTAATATAGACACCTGCAGTCCGGACTATGGAGAGCTATTTTGGGGACGAATTGGGTTAATATGGGCATCTCTGTCTCGTTGTTATGGACGCCAAAACCCTGTGGTTCAACACAAAAGGTCCAAAAACTCCCCTGAAATGTCAGTGCACTAGGACGTTCGTTGTGGGTCTCGTGGTAAGAGTTGCCCACCAAAAGGTGTTTTTGTTTTGCCTTAAGTAAAATTTGTCATTACCGCTTGCATTCTATTGTTGCGTAAGATCTTGTATAGTTTACAACCGGGAACAAAGAAGAATGAACCCTAAAGCAGTTGGTCACCTCACTAAAGAATGGTCAATGTTCCGGAAACCGAAGAGAAAATCTGACACTGTAACTCGGCAAACGGCTGAGGCTACGGGTGTACAAAGCAACGTTTGGTACACACAAAAGAAGGTCCAGAAATTAGTTCTTTCTTCCCCTCGTGTCCAACGGGTTGGAGAAGGAGGGAACGAGGAACTCCATTCCATGCTTGTTGGTATGTGTGTGCTTCTGACCCTGATTGGTCATTATGTACGACTTTTCTGAGGAACGGAGGCGTCCACAATACCGAGACTTGGCTGTGTTTCTAGGGCAGCGGAGAAAAGCTCACCGGAGAATACCTCACTGGAGAAAAGCTCACCGCAAAGGCCGACAGATGCGGAGAACAGCTCATCGGCCCTTGAGCGGAGGCGGAGAAAAGATCACCGATTTTTTTTTTCTTAGCTTAGTAAATTGTGCGTCACACGTGGATACTTAACGCAATTAGAATTCGTCACTTCACTAATAATAATTGTCTTATTTTTTGTAATATACTTTAAGTTTATTAGGCAAGTATTTATTTATACCTCAGAAATTATTAATCACCTATTTTGTGTATTAATCACGCCGCAAGTTTAAAATCAGAGCATGGGACACCCGTAAAAAGACAATTTATTGGAAGCTTGACAGTCTGCCGTCGGTGGCTCTATCAGATAAAGAGATTTGTTTTTCGTAAGCAAATATGAATAGCGGTGTGTGAACCGTCTCAGCTCCAAAGATTGTGGTGCCTGAGAGATGAATAGGTGTTTGCCGGTGTAATCAGCGTCGACTAAGCTGTTTCCTTTCTGGTTCTTTTTTCTTTTTTTTTTTAGTAATAAAACTTTAGTTGCGAGAGCAGCTTCGCCATGTCGTGTTTGTTGACTTCACTTCGTCTTCGTCCTTTGAGCGGTTTTCATCATGTATAACGTTTACCAACTCGCCCTATTCGCTATCTTACAGAAGACTAGTTCTTATATAGGTCACGAGTAACAACGGTGCCAGTGTGCAGCTCTGAAGGTCATGGGTGGCTCGCCGTAGAAGGGCACTATCACATAAAGGCAACGTGTGGAAAAATCAGCACGAATTGCTAGAAAGCGTACATGCCCGTGGAAGAAAGAAATCCCAATATCCTACTAAGCGTTTTCCCCTGTTTTCAAAGGTTAACAAGAGCTTCAAACAGAATTTCAGGCACCGAGTTGTTGCGCGTGCACTTTCAAATTTTCGGCATTTACAGTTTTGCATTTTAGGTTTTATGCATATATTATTTCGTTTTCGAACTTTTTCCTGTTCTTCAGGTTCATAAAGTATTCAGTTAGGCTTTTGATGCCTACACTCTAAAAGAAGTCCTTTCATTTACTTTCCCGCGCAACACTTGGAGAGCCAATCACCGCAACTTACGGAGGCAGCTCAGCGAATGACGATACCAAAATATCTGTTCAGACCAAAAAACGCAGTCTGAGTTGTGACATTAAGCAATGCAAGCGTGACGTTTTGCATTGCTCAATGTCACAAATAAGACTTCGTTTTTGGGTCGTAACAGATGTTTCGGCATCGTCATTCGGTGAGCTACGTCTGTAAGTTGCGGTGGTTGGCTCTCCGAGTGTTGTGCGGGAAAGTAGACGCACGGGCTTTTTTTAGAGTTAAGAGAGGAAACCACAGAAAACACTTGCCCGCAATTATTCATTTTGGAGCAATATACCCAAAACGCTTCAAACATATTACAAAAAAGGAAAATTTTCTTTTTTTACAAAAGTGGCGAATTTTAATGATAATAAATTGGTGTATGTCACCGTTATCCGACAGCCTCTATATTTACAAAAAAATATATCGGTGAGCTTTTTTTTTTTTTTTTTTTTGCAACCACCTGTATTGGAGTGAGCTTTTCTCTGATGAGCATTCCTCCGGGATTCGTATTTTTAATTGTCATAATATGTTGCCTTTACGCTAAAAGGTCCCCTTTCTCAGGAGTTCACAAGCCAGCCGAAATTATCTGAACGCATTTAGAGTATTTACCGTCAAGTTTATTATTACATAAGACGTTTCAATTTATTGGAATGCAATTACAAGACACTTTCTGCAGTTCCCCAATAAAGACGAGCCAGCTTTGTATTTTATTATATTTCAAGAGCTATAGCGCAACATATCACGCAGTAGCTTTCTTCTAAGCCATGCGCAACACATGCCTACCACAAAATGTCAGACGCCGGACATACGTCGCAGCACTCGACATTTATTAGTCATGTCATAAGTACTGAAAATGAACCCTTCACCACATTTCTTCAATGTGAATTACGTCCAGACAATGACGTAGGGCAAGACGATGTTTAACTCAAAAACGTCGCCTATGCAGAAATAGATCCCTTTCGAAAGTCTGCCTTATGTTAGATTATGTGGAATCCCTATACAATGGCATGTAGAAAGTCATCACAATTTTAATGGCTATACTTTAATGTCCTTAAAATCCGAGCACAAGAGATCAATAAATCAATCTCTAAAAGTTTTATTCAATAGTAACTCGATCAATAAATCGATCACCTTATTTCAGAGACGATAAATCGATCTCTAAAAGAAGGTGGATTACGGAAGCGAAACGCAAACGCCGCGTTACTTTCCTGAGAAAATATCGCATGTTATTTCACAACCTTCTTTCAGGTTCTTCAGCATTTATAAAACGTATTATAACTTCAAAATATGGTTCGAAACTTGAAATACATCTTCGACTTTGAAATGGGTATCACCTTTCAGCCATGAAACAGCTGGCATTAATTTTGTAACTCTCGCTTAATGAAATAAATTCACCAACAGCTGTGTATTAAAATCCATGTGCTAAAATAAGCAATATTTTCATCGATAACTGCCTTATAACAGGTCGCTAAAGTTTCGAACAGGCCACGTTTCAAGTCTACCAGAACTTATTGGAACGACAGCAGCCAACAAAACAGAACAAAAATATAAATCTGCACATGGCTACTCACGGCTCTTAAGTAGAGTCTCACGTCCGTAGTTTTGAGTTGTTCCCGGACCGCATGCATTTTTTTCGAAAGTCCGGAATCAGCGGCAGCATTCTCCACTCCGGTGTAGCCCCAATTTATATACACTGCTGACTTGAACGAGAAAATAAAATGATGACCTCAGAGTTGTTTTCTTGGAAACCACTCATTCCATTACGAAAACAAGGATCCCAGGACACTAAGGAGAAACCCAGCGTTATGCCTCGAGTAATACCGTATTTTCCGGGCTATATTCCGCACCCGGCGCATGGTCCTCAAGCCGTGTATAGTCCGCATATGGTGCTTAGTCGACACGAAAACCTTCTCATACACGGCACACCTTGACAAATGTCTGCATTCTTACCTAACAAAAAAGCTTGTATTACACATAAATCATCATTAACACACCCTTTAATTAACAAAATTCGTCACGTCTCGTCGTAATGAACCCTCTTGAAAAACGAAATTTCTGTATAGTCAGCACGCGTTGATAGTCCGCACTGCTTAACATTTCAACTTTCAAACATGTATAGTCTGCGGACTATAGCCCGGAAAATACGCCACTGCCCTTGTTTATTGCATTATTTTAGAAATTTTGCCCCGCTAAGTGTACTATACTTGAAAGATCCAACAGAGCACGTGTTGTAGAAATCATCAGTTAGGTAAACGAGTTTTGCAAAAATGTGTAATAATAAAAACATGGAGTTGAGTAGCACCACCACCTTCAAATTAACAGTAGAATGTGTCGCGGCTACTTTAAATATTGTTTGGTCTGCCCTTGTCCCTATTAATTTTATTTTTGTGTTTCAGACTATTTTACTTTAAGTCAAAATCTAAACTGGGTTGCTTGACGGGATTACTCAAAATACACACCATGCACTCAAATTACTATACGCTTAAATGAGGTTCTAATGTCTCGGTTCTCGTTAAGGCTTAATTGGTTTGAAATCACGGTTTGACTCTATAATTAAATGGCAACTCCGCTGAATTCCGAAAATATCGAGATAATGAGTGATTCCACATTAAAAAAGCACTAATAAATGGCACTGTGTCATTTGCTTTCCGAAAAAATGAAATATTTATGGTTAACTCTTGCCAAAAACATGTGTATCACGGGGTATGAGATGTCACGTGGTCCTCTAAACAACCACGGGCGGGATTGGAGCGGGACGGTGGGCCACCGTTGGGGCGGGCGTGTGCCAGGCGCAAGTGCCATCTGCACCGCACTCTTCCCCACGTTTTGGTGTTTACGATATTCAACGACGTCTGCACAAATGTGGCATCGATTTACGCACGTAGTGGGAACGAAACTCTGAGAGTCAATATTCACAAACGGCGAGAGTGCGACGACAACGGCGGTTGTGACACGGGAAACGGCGGTAACGGCGTTAACGGCCGGACAAACAAGAAGCGCTGCATTCTGCTGTCCACTCCTGCTCTGCAGACGTTGTTATCATCAGTGAAACTTGGCTAACTCCGGATATTGCAGATAGCGAATTAATCCTAAGTGACTCGTATTTTATCATCCGGAAAGATAGGATTGAGCGGCGGGGAGGGGGAGTGTTGATTGCTGTTAGAAGTACTTTGCATGTTGAAAAGTGTGATATAATATCAAGTTTTGAAGGTGTTTGGGTAAGGATTAGGACGCCTACTGTTTGTATTTTAGTAATCGCATGTTATAAGCCACCTGACTTGTCAGACTTCTCGCCATTACTTTATGATTGCTTAGAGACCCTTGCTCGTTCTTATCCAAATGATCTCATAGTTCTCTCCGGTGACTTTAACTACCCCGAAATAAAATGGCCGGTTGTTCCAAATGTCATATCTTTTGATGCATGGTATAAACTTTCAAAGCAAAGTCGGGATTTTGTTGATGTGATAAACGCCTTCTTTCTTTTTCAAATGGTTGACAAGCCAACTCGTAACTCTGCTTTCTTGGATCTTTTTTTCATTTCGGAGCCAGATTTTATAGCTTCGGTAAACTTTATGGAACCGCTCAGTGATCACACTTCCCTAAATGTTGAACTTGCTCTTCCTACGCAAAAGCACAGTCCGCTGGTAAAAGCTATTTATGATTACTCCAGGGCTAACGTCGATGACTTCTGTCGTAGCTTGCAATCTTTTTCAAGTATTTACATGGTTGGCTTTGACTCTAGGACAGTTCACGAAAACTGGAGATTATTCAAACAAAAGCTACTTGATCTATGTGATCAGTTTATTCCAAAAATAAATATACAGTCTTCTATTGAGAAACCCTGGTTTTCGAACCGCCTTAAACGACTACTGAATAAAAAGCGGAGACTATTTCAAACAGCTAAATTGTCTTTGTCCCCTTCTGCGTGGACAAAGTATGACGAATTCCAATTAGTATGGAAGACAGAGATACGTCGAGCGCAGAACAAGTTTTACAACGAAGACCTCCGCAACCTTATGACAGCTAACCCCAAAAAGTTCTGGAAAGCGGTTAACCCTAAGCAAGTGTCGAAGCCTCACCGATTCACTAATCCTGCGGGAGACGAGCTCGATGTGGGTGCAGTGTGCGAGGAATTCAGTCGTTTTTTTAGCGAGATGTTTTCTGAAGATATTTTCCCCTTACCAGAGCATTCGCCTAATTACGACATAGCCACACAAATGTGCCCAATCACTATGTCTGTGAGCGGAATTCAGAAACTAATAGAACATCTCCCAACAAATTCTGCCCCCGGTCCTGACAATATCACGACGAAGCTACTTAAGCTTAGCAAATGTGAATCTTCCGCAATCCTCTGTTCTATCTTTGAGCAATCCCTAACTAGTGGCCAAATACCTGCTGATTGGAAAAGGGCAAAAGTCACCCCGGTCTCTAAAATTGGTCAAAAGAATGAATTCACGAACTATCGACCCATCTCTCTGACGAGTGTTCCGAGTAAATTAATGGAACATGTTTTATTTTCAAATATCATGGATCACCTGTCAGCCAACAGCCTACTTTTTGTAAACCAGCACGGCTTCCGTCGGTCTCACTCTTGCGAATCCCAACTTTTTGAATTTGTAACTGATATACACAGTAACCTGCATTTTAAAACTGAGACGCATGCAATTTTTATTGACTTCCAAAAAGCATTCGATAAGGTGCCGCATCATCGACTAGTTCTAAAATTACGTGCTTTCCAAGTGGAGCCATTCGTGATAGACTGGATATCGAATTTTCTTTTTAATCGCTCGCAAAGTGTTTGTTATGATTACAAATCTTCATCCCATCAGAAAGTAAAATCGGGAGTGCCGCAGGGGACCGTGCTGGGTCCATTGCTCTTTTTTTTGTACGTGAATGATTTACCCGATAGTATTGTTTCAACCATCCGCTTGTACGCTGATGATTGTGTGGTGTATAGGAAAATATCTTGCATTAGTGATTGCATTCAACTTCAAAATGACCTGATTACCCTAGAAACATGGTGTAAAAAATGGCAAATGCAAATCAACATCCTAAAAACAAAATTCTTAAACTTCAACACTAAGCGAAGTGCCACAGTGTTTAGCTACTCTCTTTTTAATACACCCATTGAACATGTCCACACGTACAAATATCTCGGGGTTCATTTCACGTCAAACTTATCATGGGAAGCTCATATTAATCAGATCGTTGTAAAGGCAAACCAAAGCCTCGGTTTTTTGAGACGAACACTACATATGGCTAACCGGGAGACAAAACTCGTAGCTTACACTGCCCTTGTTCGCCCGCAGCTCGAGTATGCATCTACAACATGGAACCCCCACCAGGCTTACATAATTCAGAAATTAGAGTCGATCCAAAGCAGGGCAACTCGGTTCATTCTTAAAAACTATACACACACTAGCATTACTACGCTAAAAAAAGAACTCGGCCTTCCACTGCTCGCGGAAAGAAGGAAACTGACCAGACTAGTTTCATTGCACGCTTTGTATTATCTGGCCCCTTTAAAGAGAGAATTGTACTGTCCTGCGGCTCATCACATTTCTCCTCGTACAGACCATTCTCAGAAAGTTCATCTGGTAACACCAAGGACCAACCTTTTTAAATTCTCTCCACTGCAATTATCACTTTCAGAATGGAACTCTCTGCCAGAACATATTGTTACAATTCAAGACTCATCTGGATTCAGAGCTGCACTTGCTACTTTTCTCGATATTTAGCAACCTTTAATCCTGTTTTTTCCTTTCTTTGTTTGTTTTTGTTTGCTGCCAAAGCCCCCCCTTATGTAAAGCCCTACGGGCGCTTTAAGGGAACAATAAATGAAATGAAATGACTGCTCCCAGGAAGCTCGCAGCGCAGGCGCGTGACGCCAATCACGTGGACACCGCTGAGGGCCGAGAGGAAACGTTGCTGACGTCACCGGTTACGCTGGCCCGGAGAAGTAAAAACAAGCAAAAAATGGCCATGGTGATGACGTTTAGCTCAATCTTGACTACGTCAACGTCGTAACCTTGACTGTGCTGTTGGTTGCCCCTCAATTCGCCAGCTAGAGTCATCCGATTTCGGCAACTTGGCGCGTTACAAAGTTTGTCGGACCGCTCAAGAAACATTCAGACAGAACTACGTCGTAATATTTGACGTGTAGTCTTTATGGGTGATACTGCAGAGGACTGCATTGTTTTTTCATGAACAAAAATGAAGCGAAGTTGCCCTTTAAACATCAAAACAAACTTAGACGTCACGGGCCAAGGTACGAGTTCAATACTCTAGATTCATTTAGTTCTCTATGCTAACCCACGAGATTAACAATAATAAAGAAGCTGTGCACACATGAACCAGAACACGTGAAAAAAAATGGACAAAGACAGAGAATGCGTCAAAGAAAAAGGGGGGAAAAAACGAGGTGAACTTTGGGTCAAACTGAAGCTTAGGACCCAGCTGAATTATTATGCCATTTTAGCTCAGTATGTACTCTGAATTGTCAACATGCCAATCACTTTCGAGAGGCGAGACTTCACCTCCCTCTCCAACTACCAGCAGCTTACCATTTCAAAGACTCTTGTTTTGAGCTTCTGAACCAGGGACAACGCTGCGTTCGGACTGATATTGTTTCCTCTGAGAGCCAAATGGGGCCCCAATGCCCAAACAGGTAGAAACGCCGGTCGTCCGATCAACTATAATCAATGAAAAGAATCAATTGCACACTGACAGTTGGACAACCAACATCAGCTGTAAGCATGCACAAATACGAAACACTTAACATCAAACCTTATAAGTAAGGTCAGATACTGTAGTGACCGAGAGCTTAGGAAACGCCCAGATGCCTCATATCACCACTCTATAGCCAACCAGATTGCGACATCAGCCGATCATAACGCTGAAGAGCGATTTACGAAGCAAGAAACGCGGTCATGATTAGTCCTGAGCTTCTTAAGCCGTCAGTGGCTATAGTTAAGAATGCGCTCAGTTAACGCCACCATATTCCAGCCAAGGCATCGAATCGCTTTGTGGGCTATACCAGGAAAGGCAGTAACGATGACTAGTTGTGTGACGAGAGCGCGACGTTCGCCTCGATTGCGGACTATTTGCTCAAAGCGGAAGAGCAGTGGCAGGCAGTAGTGAGGGTCTGTGAGGAGTTTCTAGCGCATTCATAACTAGTACTTCACTGTAGACGTACGCACGTTCAAAGCAAAGAGTGTTCGCACGATAATATGAGTATCGACCGTACCTCTGTGAACTGACGAATGACGTCCTCTGGAGACTCGCCCAGAAAGAGGTGAAAATCCAAGATACCGCCGATCGTCCTAAATGTGGCCATAGACGGCTGCATTAGAACATCTGTAATAGTAACAGCCAAGATAAAACAATTATCACAAATAACACATAAATAAAAAACGACGCTCTGCATTTCTACTTCTAGTGCAGAGTGTTAACGGATCAGTACCTAATTTTTTTTTATAAGATAGATGTCTTAGATAGACAAGCTGGTTACTCCGCACCTGGCGTGCGGAGTAACCAGCTTGAGCACACAACAAACGATAGACACCACACAATACAATTCCGTAGTTTATAAGTAAAAAATAGTGAATGAAATATACTATTTCGTTAGCCTACACTTCATCGTGTATTCCTTGCAATAAGCTAGTAAATAAGCCTAAACTTATAAAGTTTCAAATTTCTACTTTCTCTTAGCTTGTCCGACGATTCTTATTCTCCAGAACAATACACATGTTAATATCAAAGCTTAATCTATCCAAAGGTAGTGTATTATAACATTCATTTACATGTGGCTGCTGCTACTCTTTAGCAATCGGCGAGTTACGAACCCTCGAGATACTCTAGTGTAGGTAGAAATTTGTCTCATCTTCTGCAAAGGGGACTTATTGTCCAGACAATAAGCGTAAATAAGCGAGAGCGTGATGCTCGTTTACATTGAAGTGGTTTTTATAGCCATGATCTCGAAGCACATTTATCAGCACATCTGGGCGTAGCAATTAGTTGCGCATGTTATAAACTTGGGCAAAACAGAAACAGAGTGCATACCATATAAATTTTCGCATCATACCTGCAAAGTTCTACATAATAATAATTAAGGTTCTGCTCTTCCCAATTACTATCAGATGAACACACATTTTTTGCTTCGTTCACTCAATATGGTCATCACGCCAAAAGTGTACTTTCCAAACTTGTTACCGGCCTACAGAATCTGACGTCACTGAATTACATTGAACAACGTCAATAACGTTTGCACAAAACTCACTCTTTGGACTCTCAGAGCAAGAATGCATAATAGCCAGGTGATTATTCCTCTTTTCGTTGACTTCAAAGATATAAGGTTTAGCTCCTCGTGAGTTTTTCTTATCTGTAACGTACCGACTAAGCGACTTGTTAATACAGTATTTTGTATATAAGACAAACAACAGAATTGGAGGCAAGCGATGATCGGGAGTAGTGCCGCGTCACTCGTCTTATAAGTGTCCTTATAAAGCGGTAGCCCAGCACCGACTCACCCACCCATAGGGTAGCTGGTGTTCAGAAATACTCCGTGCGCTCTGCCATCTTCCTCGACTACCATGTAGAAGGGATGCGCTCCAGAATGACTGTTCTGAAAGTGAAAGAGTAAAGTCAGATGCATGAGAATACAAATTTTGAACTCCATTCAAAAATTACCTTCGAAAGTTTTGTACCTCTAACAACTCACTAAAACATTTTGTATTTTTCTTTCTTCTTAAATCGTTTTCCTCCTCGTGACCATTATTTTAAAGCGTGAAATTCTCTTTAACGGGGACCTCTTCAATCAAAATTATGTACATCTGTACATTTTCCGCTACATTTAGCGTGGAAATTGACGCCTCGTGACCACGTGACGCATACACCAAGTGAAGAAATGAACGTCACGTGACCTATATGTCAATTCATTTTTTCTGCTCAATTTAGCGGGAAAGCTCATGTCTTGTGACCTAAGCGATAATTCGGCGGAAATCGACTTCACGTGACCCTTACAAAAATTTAGATTCTGCTCTAAATTTAGTGGGAAATTTAGGCCGCGAGACATACCAATACCCACTCCCCTTGTCTCTCCTTCCTTCCCTTTCTCCTCCCTTTCCATCTAATTCCAATTCCCTACCTCCCCCTCTCCCCCTTTCCTCTTCCTCTCTCCCCATCTTTCCCCCATTCCCCGCGGTGACCTCCCTCCTCATCTTCCATCCTTGGTAATGTCACACACCAACTCAGTTTCTCAGTTTCTATATTCTAATCCCCACCCTTCGCTTTTCCTTCTTATGTCAACCCCTCTCCTCGCCCTCCTATAGTACCCTCTCTCCCTGCCCAGTCGCCTTCGTTCCCCCTCTCCCCTTCCTAGTCAAGTGACACACCAATGCCGCTTTCTTATAATTGAAAAAAAACACGTGGGGTCTGTACTCCCAGAACGACTGTTTACTGTCTACTAAACATTTCAAACAATATTTCTCCTAAATACTGCATTTCAAGCATTATAGGACTTTAAATAGAAGGTCGCTGACAATTTTGGTCACCTTAATGCGGAGCGCAAGTTTGTCTGCTTCTTTTGCGCCAGAACGACGCCGAGCTCCGATTGAGCCAATCAGGGCTCGGCGTCGTTCTGACGTCATCACAACCCCTCAAAAGAAGCAGTCGAACTTGCTCACCTAATTAATATGGCTCAGATTATTAAACAATCGTGTTCGTTTGTCGAGTTATTTGTCAAAGAACGAACTGATGGGCTTATTGATGGCAGTCGGGAACTAAAGAAACAATAAGCACGTAGAACGAAGGACGACACAGCCGCAGCTTTGAACTAGAGTCCCTGACAACTTATGAAACGCAGAGTGTGGCCACTCATGTTCGCGCTTCTTGCTTCGGGATTCGTTATTCGGCATTTTTTATTGGCTCATGGCATCATGCCGCAATCTGATTGGCTGCTGCGCAGTAATAGGACACTCGGGACTCGCCAAACCCTGCGTCTTTTTTTTAGGGGTCAGCGGCTCCAGCGACATATACCGGGTGTTTTTGCGAAGACTTTCAAAAATCCTAAAAATTAGGGCGATTGAAAAAAAGAAGAAACTCTCTTCGGGAACAAGCTATCAGCCACGGCGGACGTCAGGAATTGCCAAAAACCTACTAATTAGCCAGATAGTTAATTAAAACTTGTTAATTAACTTTTTAATTAGTGGAAATAGACATATGATTCCAATTAGAAAATTGCTGAGCGTTATCGAAAACCACTAAATCAGTCATTTTTAGAAAGACTTTAAGCGCTTGAGAAGAGTAGTAGCGCACTAAAATTACCACTCGTGGAGCAGGTACAAGGCTGGGGCTAGATAAGAGGCGGAAAAATCGCGCGGGCGCCTTACCGCAACCGCTAGCCTTGTACCTGCTCCACGAGTGGTAACTTTAGTGCGCTACTACTCGTCTCACGCGCTCAAAGTCTTTCTGAAAATGACTGATTTAGTGGTTTTCGATAACGCTCAGCAACTTTCTAATTTGAACCATATGTCTATTTCCCCTAATTAAAAGGTTAATTAACAAGTTTTAATTAATTAGCTGGCTAGTTAGTAGGTTTTTGGCAATTCCTGACGTCCGCCGTGGCTGATAGCTTGTTCCCGAAGAGAGTTTCTTCTTTTTTCAATCGCCCTAATTTTTAGGATTTTTGAAAGTCTTCGCAAAAACACCCGGTATATATCATTTCCCACCACTCGTTACCTTCCCTTTTTTTTATCTGCCAGGTTGCGTACTCGTTGACACGTTTTGGGGAGCATTATAGGTGGAGAGTTGTCTTGGAGTCGTCTTGCTAGCGTTTCGTTAATGAAATCTAATCTTGGACTTCCTGATCTATTAACTCGAAGAAAATTTTCGCCTCTCTGTCTTTCAATAAATTTTCTTTTATAACCCATGCACCGTTGAAACAAGAACTTATTTCGCAGCCTTCATACCTCTCATCCCGCATTGATCACCAGTTCTAAGTGGCCATTCCTCACTTCAGCACAAATAGGTCTTTTTGACTCCTTCATCCTCAAAGCCTGCTCAGAGTGGAATCGGCGTCCTCCTTCCATTGCCTCCATTGAAGATTCTTCATCCTTAATACCCGCCATAACCGAAAATTTTTCTAATCCTGCACGTGTTTAATGTTTATATTTTTACTGCATACTGTACTGCTGTTGATGTATTTACTCCATGTACACTCCCCCTCTGTAATGCCCCACGGGCCCTGAGGGTATTCAAAATAAATGGATAAATGTTAATTTCTAGTTGAAAGATGTGCTTGTGTCGCCGCCTTGTTAAACGCGTGTATTATTTATTTATTTTTTGCACAAATCTTACCGAGATATTTTGTGGGCTCTACACCTGAAATTTTTTTTTGACAAACGCAAACTGATGACGGATTTATCTAATCTTTCAGTAAGTTGTATAAGCCTACTGTTAATAAAGCGCACTTATTCGGTTTTTTTTTCTATTATTGATTTTACGTAAAATATCTTGATCTTTATAATTACAACAAAATTCTTTGTCTGTTGTTCAATCTAAAACTAAATAGTACGAGCTCTCTGGATGTTTTTAAATTGCGTTCAAACTTAGTTTTGGGCAAGGAGGATCTTTTCCAAACAAAATGCGGTGGTCACAGGAAAGTACTGAGCTTACTGATTCGTCGTTCGGTGCCTTCTCTGTAAAGAATGATGTAACTCTCCAGTTCAGGTCGTTCTTGAGAGTTGACTTGGAGCCGGCGCCTCCGAGCCCGAATACATTTTCTGACGCTATTCGAGTCGATATCTGAAGAAACTGCTCCGCCAGAGCGGTTCCCGGTAACCTGGTGTCAAATCTGAAATATATGTTGTTCTTCTTTTTAATTCATAAGTTGTTTTGTAATATCATTCACAAGCGAGTCCCGAAGAGAAACATGTTGCCATAACTGGCATCGCCCAGTCATTCTTGAATGTCAAGGGGCGTCGCTGCGTCGTGCAATACAGCTTCTCCTCCCGATACCAGGTATCAAAAGGTCTAGCACTTTCACATAACTTTGCTGAAAATGCAGTAAGAAGGTTTTTGATGAATACAAGTGGTCAAAGATTAGGGGTTTATCTATTTCTGTAAAGTAATTGTTAAAAAGATGCCGGCAGAACCGAAAGGGATGAAATTAGTCCATGCTTGCTCTTTTGATCAGGAATTTTCTCTTGGATTGAAACGCCGCTACATGCCGCACGAATTGGCAAGGGGGGGGGGGGGGGGGGGGGTTCGTTTTGCTTGCTGCTTAGCGACCGATCAAGTGAGATAGCGCGAATTACTTTAACTCACAAGTCGATCTGTAAATGAGCAAAGCACTGAAATCAAAATATTCGACAGCAAATGCCATTGTACAACGGACACAAAATATGAACATTGTTTTGTTTTGGTTTTGTTCATTCGCTTAAGTTTTGAAAAACACTCTGCTTAAATTGGTAGATGTTTTGTTCCCTACTAAATCATGTGTGCAGCGAAGGAAAACTGCATAAACCTGGTGTGGAGACTAATAAACACGACTTTTGAAACAACCGTCAGGTTTTTATATCGCATGTGTGCTGGCGTGTTCCTTCATGGTTGACAGTAAAACATACAATAAAATGCTGAACATCGTTTGGTGATTTACGGTTCTCATAGTAGCAGGAAGAATAATGAACAGTAAGGGTTATATTCCATAACCAAGTGTTTTTTGTTTTTTTTTCGCGGACAGGCAGAGGTCATAAAGAATAATTATGTGTGCGTGTTGAGAAAGCGGGAGGTTAGTCAACTCCAATGGGTGCCTGGGGTCTCCCTGTAAGTGCGAAATTTCGCAAGATCTCTACAACTTCTGGACTGCACTTTTTAACGTACGTGCACCACACAGTAGTGATTGGCGACCACCACGCCGGTACGATGCTCATCCATATCAAAACGGGCAAGGAAGGATATTAAATTCAGGATCTCCGAGTAATAAAATGAGAGATTCAATTCGCGTGCTTCAAGCTGCGGTGCGTTGATTTGACACACTTGTCATTATTATCATTTGTCATATTATTATTATTAAAAAAATAATAATAATAAACGGGAAAATTAGGTAAAGGCGGTCTTCCGTGTCTTATATCGTGTACAACGCAAGACGACTTTTGTTTCTGAAAGAGAGCCTTGTTTTGGCGGCAGGTCGTCATATACCGGCTGCTGGAACTTTGAGCCGCTGCTTAAGATACAGATATCGGTTATCAAGAAAAAAACACCGCACCACACCAGGATGCCCTTCTGATAAAAGCAATAAGATTCCTCAGTGACGAAGTCTCACCTTCTCCATTGTTTCTTTATCACTAACAGCACTCGTGCCGAAGGACATTCGCGAGACCGGAACGGCTGGTGCTATGGGTTGTTTCAACTTAAAATGGACCACAGCGTTCGCCACGAGCCATCCCAGTCAATCCAGGCCTGTGAGGGCATCACGTGACTGCGTGGGCTTGCGAGTCACGTGACTGCCACGCGGCATTAAATCGTCTCCGGAATTGCTCGTAGCGTCATCTTCAATTCACGTAAGATTAAAAGTACAGCTGCAGACAGAACTGCGCATTTAATATTAACATGCTCAAAGAAGATTCAAGAAGATAAATGAGGCACCCTTCTGATTGAGGCGGGTAGAATGAACTTAAAAGGGAGTCTCATGGAATCCTAAAATTGGTGTCTCACCTCTTTTACGATTCCATAAATCTCTTAAGGAAACGTCTGGGCAACTCTGACGCTTCCAGACGACTCCTTATAAAATGATAGTTCGCACTACATGTTCACCAATAAAGCGTAAAGCTTCGATAACAGTCTAAAAGAAACATGTGAACGAAAAGGCTCATTTCAAAGCCCTGTTTCGCTCTGAGTACGTATGACGCAATATGGCAGAAGATATATTCCAATGTCTCCTGCAATATCAAATACTTCTGGCGTTTTGGGAATTATAGTTAAATTTACTTTTAAACAAACCGATTTAGGATTGCGTTTAGCGAGTGAACCCTGGAGAAGTAATGTCTCCTAAAAGTATTGGTTATATAAAGACAGCCAGAGTGCCTTAGGTATCTGGTATTGCAGTGCGCTTTTATAACAATGAACCTCAGGCCACCTTAAACTTTAAAAAAATATATATTTCTCCAGGTAGAGTTTAAATTATTTATTGCGAGTTTTTCCTACATCATTTGTGAGAGCGAGAAGACTTAAGTGCATTACGTGGTTAGAAGTTTTTTGTTTTTTTTTTACTTTTTGTGCTGTGTTATTAAAGATCCCCTTCGTATGCCATCATGAACTAGTTCCTACTTGTCATGCAAACTGTTTGTCCAAAACTCTATTCAGTGAAAGACTGACACTGGAGATACTGGAGAAGTTTCGTGTCCTCGAGGAAAGTATTGACCTCTACATTACTCGCACGTTCTATCAGCTAACTATAGGAATGCACTTTGGTGCCTAAGCTTTTACGTCAATCGTCAGCCACGAGTGCATTTGACTCTTTCTTTTCCTGTGGCACTAGCCCCTGTTGCTACCGCTTGGAACGGTGGCCAGTCCTCCCCATGTACGGTAAGGGAACAATTATATCGCTTGTTATCTTGTCCTTCAGTGGCAAGATTATCGGCAAAATATTGTCCTCGAGGTACACATGGTAACCTAGATATAAGCTAAGAGCAGCAAACAAGGTCGTTTTGTGAATTTTAGATTCAAGAACAAAACATTTAAAAAAACGGGCCCTAGTAATTAAATGCTGGCTTAGCAATATCCCATGAAACGTATATCGGTGTGAACCAACTTTTAAGTGCGAGTATTCGTGTTTGAATATCTGTGTCACGTGAAAAAATGTATTCATTTGTTTCATTATATTTTAAAATACCGCTGAACTTTTTAAAGTGCCAGGAATTTAATTTTTGCCTAAAGTGCTACCCGATTTTTTATAATGGAATATAATAACATATGCTTGTTCCGATCCTTCTAATAATATGTTACGCTTTATATTGCAAAACGATGTTTCGGACATAACATGATGATTTATTTTTCTTTTCTCTAACGCTAACAAGAGCAACACGAAAGAAAAGTTCAGGTAATTGTGATATGGTGTATAGTTGTCCAATGATTTGTGTCTTCTTCTGAGAGAAATTGAAGCTACTTTGATACATAGTGATCACAAGCAACATTTTCGTGATTGATTTTTCAATACATCCATCATAATAGCAATGGAATATTCACTGCCATTTTATTACGAGACAAAAAGGCCTAACGTATATTTTGTAGCGTACTCGTACTAAAATGCTTCTATGTATTTTGTGTAAATGGCTAAGTTGAATCACCAGAACAAATTGAGCTGCTTGTCACCATTTAATTTGCTCAACTGATCTCTGGTCATTTTACTCTGATATTTACTGCACCAAGTCATGGAACGCGAATAGTGACGCATAATCATACATAAATAAATACCAGTGATACTTGCATTAAGTATGTGCCATATTATTAAACAAATGAAAGCAGCAAAACCGACCATAAAATCGTTCATTGCGGGTGCACCCAAAACAAATGTATTTTAGAAAAACTGGGATCTTCATTTCACGCGCAGTCATTTGTTATGAACGGAGCGTCAAACACCAGTTGGTAATTAGTCCAGAAATTCAAAAAAATAAAAAAGTGGCCAAAACGAATCATTCCGCAGGAGAAGTCAAACAATATAAGTGCTAAAGACAATTCCGGCTCAGTGTATCACAACAATTAAAACGTAATAAATCTGCGCTTCCAGCTCGGAGCTCACCATAACCAAAAGGAAAATATCGTTCTGCAGCACTTACAAGATTTTCCCGTTGTCTCTGCGAGTCACAACGACGCCGAAGGTTTCTCCCCGTTCGCTGTACGACAGGGTGTACTTCCTCGTTTTTTCCGATGTACTTTTGCGTTGTGCCATGGGCCGTCGTTCCAATTTAACGTTCGCTGGTGCCACCTAAACCAACGAACATACGACAATGTAGATTATAGAGCGTTTGATGCACTTTCACTTTCTTGCGACTAGTTCAATTTATATAACCAAACTATTTCGCCTTATATTATTCGTATTAAGTACTTTGTTAAGTTCTTGTTCGCATACAGCTATTATCCCCTATTATTATCAGCATTGGGGTGTGCTATCGAAATGATAAGAGAACTTTTAGTGCGCTTTTTGTTTCAGTGGTGAGATCCGCGTGTCTATCCAGTCTGGTAAATATTATGTACATACTGGAAAAATTTTGAATATAGTGTTATTCAACTAACCACATCGTATAAGTATACGCTCCCAAGTGTTGCGTAGAAGTAAATAATTAGATAAACTTCTACTGTATTACTTTTGGCTAAGGTGTACCTTAACCATGGTAAAAAATATCTCTACAATATCACTATGACAAATTGCGATCGCTTTCCGTATATTCTAATTTTTTAAGGAATTCACTCATCACTTTTAAGGGATGTAATGTTGAAGTTCCAATCTTACCTCTACTCAGCAATGTTAGGGCGGTCTGTCCTTCAACTTGTCCTTATTAGCGTGAGAATTCCGTTCATATTACGTGTGTAATTAAGAATTACAGTGAGATAAAAATTAAGACTGCGTCCTCCTACACCCTCATTACAGCCAGACCGTTCCCCCATGATCCACAAATAGTCAGCTGCTGAGGGGCACGTCGTGCTAACGCCCCTCAACTCGCCATGGCCTGGCTTTCCTGGTTGGTCCGCGGAAGAGTTCACTGCCATGGCTAGTACTGGGTGGTGTTTATTTGACGCATTCTTTACTTAAACCCCACTACAGTAAGTAACTTACCATGTTAGAACCTTACAAACAAAATAAAATTCAGGACACTCTTATTTCACGCCATGAACCACCAAGCAAATGTTCTTGAGGTAGACGCTCGCTTTTATTTTTGGTGTGCTGCTCCTGAAATGTATCTGCTCTAAATTTACAAGCACGTTTTATTTCGTCATCAGAACGTAAGGGGTTTCCTTATCGTGTTTTATAGCTTCCGTATCCGAATGTGCCCCAGTTATTGTGTTTTATGGCATGTTATACGCAAATAACTGTAGGCGTTATCGGTGCTAAGAAAAGAAGCTTTCTTTTCCTTCACGATCTACCGCGTGCACGACTTGGGTTACGCTCGCGCGACGTATACAAATGGGCACGCGATAGCGCAAATGATGTGCTGCGTGAAAACCCCTCTGATAGTGATAAACTCGTAGATTTTCTTCCGCAAAACGTTTGTGGAAAGACATTTATGAACGCGCGTTGGAAATTTGTCTTATTTATTTAATAAAGGTGTTAATCAAGTCAGTGCATAAAAGATATGGTGTCAGAGGTCTTTAAGTACACCTCTACGTTTCAATGCATAATATACATTCAAAATATACGAATCAGGCGGCATGTACACGGTATTGTACGGTGAATCTAATACTCACATTTGCTATGAAAAAAACCGCTCTTAACAGGCACTAATCCCCCCTCTAAAAGAAAACATTTTCGGCGATAATAATAATACACATTAAACGATTCTGAAACTAGCTTTTATATGTTTCGGAATTGCGTCTAACATAAACCATGTATCGTGATAGTGGGCAAAACACTTGTATTTATTTTGCTACCTTGGGGGGGTTGGGGGGGGGGGGGGTGGAATGTACTTTATTTGGTACATACGTGCGGGAGTTTGGTGTCTTTAGAACAGACTATGAAGCACTTCTTCTTCGGGTCGATTTTAAGATATTGTGCTTGTTTCATAATTTATCCAGAGGGTGGCCAAACAGATAGGGCGAGGGACCAGACTTGTGTTGTTGTTTATTTCTATCATTTCAGTTGGTGGCCACAGCGAATTCACTCATAAAGCAGTTGAACGTTATGTTTGTGTACTGTGTGTCCCCTCGTACGCGAAACAAGCACCCTAAAGTTTGGCTCGAATGACGTCGTCTGTTAGGACCGTACGCTTGTCTTGATCTTACCACCTTCATCGTTGAGAAGAGTGCCTCACAAGGTGCCACCGTACGTACTCCAGCTTCCAGGTGCCTACGTGCACCAGGAAGCCGCGATCCGCACTTGGACTTTCAAAGGGCCGCGAGCCGCACTTTGGCCAACTAGCTCTGATCTATCCTAACTGAAAATGTTACTCGCGACAAAAATATTGCGCTAAAAGCTATATCCTTATATTATTATTTGTTGCCTTTTAGGAGAGCCGGAGAGGGTTCCCAATTATTTTGTAACATACGTGTCCTATTTAGACACCTATTTATTTTAGATCAGTGTACGTCCTTTTGAGCAACCCCAATATACGTATCATTACTGACCTGCAACCTGAGACTGGTGTCCGTCTCGTAGGAGACGCTGAAAAGGACGTCGTTAAACTCTCCTCCAAACAAAGGTGGGGTCGCTTTTCTGCGAAGCCTAATGCTGAATCCTCCATCGCCTTGCTCGGTCACATCGCCAAGTTGTTCATAGCCGTAGCCTTCGGGGAAGAAACAAACGGGCAAGTGTCCATCCGTGACTACGTACTTGCACCTGCAACGCAACATTAACAGTTATTGTATTTAATGGTCGCTCGTCACGTCAACAGACATAAAACCGGCTCAGACGTTTGCGTTTGAGCGTTACCGAGAGTCGTGCCCGCTTGTGACCGCTTGCGAAGAAGAAAACACACTTGTCCACTAGCGCCATCTATCAAGTGGCCTTGAAACACTTCCCACCTGAGTGTATATCTCCTAAATATTTGAGCATAATTTTAAACGGGAAACGTTCTTTGTCTAGGTGTTCGGAATTTCGTGAAGCCCAGACAAAAGCGTGGCCGCAAGGCTCGACATTGATTGGTTGACGGGTGAAAGAGGAGGAGTGGGTTGCTCTACGCTGATTGGTTAACATATCATGTGACCAGATGGGTAGGCGAGGAGGAGCTCGACCACCTGTGTGCACTGATGGAGAAAAGCTCGAGACTATAAAAAGCTCAGGAAGATCGCCAGGTTGATCGGCCCGATTAGCGGTAGTATCGCTTCATCCTAGAAACAACTATCAAGCGTACACATGGCACGCGTTAAACTATCAGATGAAAAGTGCCGAGAACGTATGCGTCTGGCGTGTTGGAAACTCAAGAGTATCGCTAAACGTTTGCGACGCCAGAATGTTTCACGTATGCAACACAATTACCTAACGATTTGCCGTAAACTTTTCACCGTGGGTTTTAAATAATTCTGACACCGTTAAAACCGACCATTCCTCCTAGTCAGTGCGTAAATTCGATCTTACAAATAGGGAGAAATCTTCAGTCTAGATCTACGCAGATTGGAAATGTTCCAGGGCTGCTTGATAGATGGCGTCAGTGTGCTAGTGGGTTCTCGATTGTCGTAAGCGGTAACGAGTGAAAACATTGCGAACGGTCAGACTCAATCTGAAGTGGATAAATCAATCTTTACGACAACCCGGAAATTATGCCGTTCCAAAAAAGGTTTGCACGTAATCAATCACGAAGTATACCGGGTGTTTCAGTGAAGACTGACAAAATTCCTTAGTGTATTCGAGGTAAAACCCCAATTTTTTCGGGACCGCATTACTCGTGGTGGCGGACGTCAGAGAAAGCGCGATACTTACTAATTATTGTCGCTAATTAACTAGATATGACTTTTTAATTAGTGAAAATAGACATAGTTCCAATTAGAAACTTGTTACGTGTCATTTAAAACCACTAAATCAGCAATTTTGAGAAAGACACGAGCGCGTGAGAAGCGTAGTAGTGCGCTAAAGTTACCACTCGTGGAGCAGGTACAAGGTTGGGGCTGTCATAGGAGACAAAACGAAATCGCGGAGGCGCCTTATCGCACCCGCTAGCGGTGTACCTGCAGCACGAGTGACAACTATAGTGCACTACTACGCCTCTCACGCGCTCAAAGTCTTTCTGAAGATTACTGATTTGGTTAATTTCGATGACGCTCAGGAAGGTTATAATTATAACCTTATTTTTATATTCACTAATAGAAACGTTAATTAGTCATCTCTGATGCATTAGCGAACTAATTAGTAAGTATCGCGCATTTTATGACATCCGACACCACCAGTAATGCGGTCCGGAAAAAATAATCTATTTACCTGGAATACATTAATTGCAGTTTTTTTTTTTTTTTTTCTCTGAAACACCAGTATATTTTGTTTTATTTGTGGTCACCGAACCCGAGTTGTCTTTGGGGAAATTGTATAAATCTAGGAACTCAAGTACATTTTAGCGCTCAAAACACAAGGACACAAAGACGAGAATCAGACACCACAGTGCGCTACTAACAACTGATTTTATTACATGAAACGTCACTTATATATCATCCATGTTTCTGATATTGCCCCGTCACTAGCCAACCCGATGCCAGGCCGCGTCATTGAGGAAGGCACGTTCCTTGTCAAGTAGATCAATTGAGGCTGATTGAGGAAATTATCGGGACGGTCATCTGTCTGATCATTGTCAAAGCTGCAAGTTTGTGCCGTTGTTTTCAGAGTGCAAGATTCTGGTGAGCCACAAGGAAAAAACTGAGGGAAATAGTCGAGGCAGATGAGATTAAGAAGGGTGGGGCAGCACGTGTCAGCGTGGCCTCAATTGATCTACTTGACAAGGGACGTGCCTTCCTCAATGACGCGGTCTGGCATCGAGTTGGCTAGTGACAGGGAAATATCAGAAACACGGATGGTATCTAAGTGAAGTTTCATGTAATAAAATCAGCTGTTAGTAGCGTACTGTGGTGTCTGATTCTCGTCTTTGTGTCCCTGTGTTTTGAGTGCTAAAATGTATTCCAAGTTCCAAAACCAACTAGCCGAACAATCAATTCTAGAAACTGAGATATATGTGCATATAGTGCCTAGTAATACCACATTAAACATATCAACATTAAGCTTGTGAGACAGCTTTTCTACAGATATAAATAAAACAAATTGATGCGAAAAGCACTGTGTCGACACATCTTTGTTCGCTGCTCAATGGCAGCTGTCTGCAACGTGCAGGAGGTAATCTTTACCTGGTTAACTATATATGCAAATACTAACAAGTCTGTATCACCCGTAAGAAATAAAAACGTTGTCGTGCGTATCTTAATTGAAACTGGATCGCACAGAAATTATTAAATGAGATAAAAGAAAAATGTTTACTTGGAACACTCCCTCAAATTTATAAAAGAAACACTGATTGTCACATTTGTTTCAAATAATTAAACTGCGCAATTATTGAAGCATGACTACATTTCGTTTCAGTTTAACTCCAGACGCAGACAGCACATCGAGCTAATCGGACCAATCAGCGTCAAGGGCACAAGTCACTATACCTTTTTTTGTTCATGATTGGTTCAACGAAAATAGACCACGATGTTCGATTGGTCCCATGAGATCGTAGCGTTGACTGCGTTTGCACTTAAGATAAAACAAAGTCCTAGTAAATCTTCATTCTCCCCATGAAACGTCTGAGAATAGCTACAAACGCGTGTGTAGCTATTATTTATTATTTATATTTTGCCAAAGCGTGATTCTGAGTGCTTTTCTGCCGATATCCTTGTTTACTAAAGCTTTCTTAATGAATCTCGTTTTTGATGTACGTCTTAACAAACCCCCCTCGCCACTTGCAACATCATGACCTACTGCACTCTCTGTTGAATAGAAACAAAATAGCTTTTGATAACGTCTGAGCCTTACTTAGTATAAGTGTCGTTCGCTTAATTAAAAAATATGTCGACTGATAAATCGTGGGACTGTCCTCTGTAAAATGTGCTGGAATGCTGCGTACACCCCTAAGCTTCCACTTCCGTAAATTTTTAAGTTCGACTTGGTTTCCTTAACAAACAAACAACACGAAAATAGCGAGAAACCATCATAATGCATTTTGTTATTTAAGATGGATGCCGGCAAACTTTAGTACCCACTCTTGCGACATTCATGGCCTATTTTCCAATGAACGCGGAGCAAAATATTCGCAACAGTTTGTTGCAGGTTAACAAAAAAAAGGCCAAGCCCCTCCTACAAAGCTCTTTGCTCACTACGTAAAAGTGCTAAAAAAAAGAGACAAAGAGTAGGAATGGACACACGGAAGGCTGCCATCTTTGTTCCCACTGCTACTCTTTGCCCTACTCGCCAACTTTTTGTCCCTTGTGTTTTTTGCGCTTTTAAGTAATAATTACGTACCAAATAACTAACGTGCACATTCTCTGTGCTCACCATGATTGTTGACTTCTTTCCCTCCACTCACCTCCTCCCCGATTTTCTTAACCTGCAACATGCTATAGATCGAACTGGCACATGTCCCTTAGAGCTTTGAATTTTTTAAAGCACCAAAGACCAGCCTCGCCACACTTACCCTCGCTGTAGACATTTGGTGTAGTTCAGCCCCGCGTGATCCAAGTTGCAGTCAATCCGGAGCGGAAACCGCCACTTGTAGAAGCACTCGACGTAGACCACAATTGCCACCATGGTCGCCATGAGTACGACGAGACACGTGCCGATAAATAGCCACAAATAACTTCCGCACCCCTCGCGTTCCATGTCGTCTTTTGGATTGCCCGTCGTTAAAAGGTCCTGGCTACTCTCCTGTACCTGGCCACTGGGAGCTCGGGCCCGCGACAGTGAGTATGAGTACTTTCGCGACGCCATCCTGAGTCCCTCTTTCTTTTTCCGGCGAATCTGCGTGAGGAAGAAAATATTGAAGGGTAGAGACCACTCCAAAAATCGCGCTTCCATATGTTTTTACTGGGCTCTTCTTAGCGTTTCGAGTACGCGAAGTACCTCCTCTTTGCGTAATATCCCCACGCCAAGCAGACGTTGTGATTCAACATTTTGCGTCTGTGTGATGAGCGTAGAAAGAGTGTATATGCGGTATTAACCAAACGCCATAAATGAGCGCGTTGTTCAGAGCACATTTTCAAAACTAGCTTATTTTATCGTTTGACACGAAAAAAAGAAAAGTCCTGATTGTGCGGAATGAAAGTTCCTGCGAGTGCTGTAGGACGTAAAAAGAACAAGGGTTGAGGTGGACAAGATACGCATTGTTTAACCTTTATCCAAATAAAGAACGAACTTCCGAATACTTTCCAAGATGTTTTGAGGTACATATTTGGAATATGTGTATGGCTTTGACTTTCTTAGGAACAATAGCTGTCTTAACAGGGACGCTTGAAATTCATATATTTTTGTTTCATAGATAAATTATGTTTCAGTTCTTTTTGTTCCTCGTTAAACTAGCTGGTTATGCCAGTGTGTTGCGTTTTATAAGATTTAACGGTGCAGAAAACATACGAAGGCGTATTTCAATAAAACATATGCGAAGGTTTATAGTTAGTTTAGCTCAGGAGTTCTTCTCCCGCACTAGCGCTGATACATTGAAAGGGCAGTCTCCACCGTTATGTCTCAAACAGGTAATGTCAAAATCTTTTTTGCTGAAAACTTCTTTTTAAATTCGCCATTCACTTTTGAAGAGTTTACACGTTACGCGTTCATTTTAACTCGATAAATTCAGCAAAATAAAAATTACCGTAATCCAAATCGATCTCTACAATAAGTGCAAAATGAACAAAGAGGGCTCCTTAATTATATCAAACGTCGCTACCCTCGAAACGTCCGTCAAATAATATTCTCAAACTTCTTGCACCCAAAATAGGTGGAGCTACCAAAAGAACTCAGATGGGCCAGTTGGTTAAGCCCATTAAACATACGAGCCCTTGTTTGTCGTTCGCGCTTTTATGTTTAATGGACCTTTTCCGAGAAGCGTTCTGCGCACGCTCGAGCGCCCGATGCCAAGCGGCGGAAGTCGCGAGTGACCCGTTGATTCACTGTGAATTAGGTAATATACACAAGTGCAAACCTCTACTATCCCGAAACGATTTAAAATAAATAAATAAAGTTAATTCAAATACATCAAGAGTTTCCTGCGCGAAACTCACTCCAGCGGTGCAAAGACCGCAGATAATGAATGCTGCTTTTGTTCTTGTCGTCCTATTCTCAAGTCCTTCATGGCGTATCCCATTTTCTGTGGAAAAGACAAATTAGTTCAATCTATATCGATTTTAAAACCGCAGAAAATATAGACAATGAGCGGGTCCTGTGTTTCTGTTAATACATAGATAAAAACAAAATGCTATTTCTGAAACAAATTTAGACTTGCATGTCTTGCTCGGTAGTTATTTCCACCTGTTGACTTGTCTCTCTATCTCCATTCCTACTTTTGTGTGTGTGTGGGGGGGGGGGGGGGGGAGGGGTGTTAGTGTGGGTTTAATTTGTCATTGTGCATATGTAAACCTGTACTTGTGGGTATAAAGAATATGCAACTGCATTAACCCCCAAAACTGCCAACATTTAAAATAGAGAGCAACCCACCTACGCCTCATGCTCTAGATAAATTCATTTACAGGACGGAAGGGAAGGAAGGAGCTTCAGTTCCCCCGCCTCTAGCGCGAGCTTGCTACCATCGACAACGCTTCGACGTCCCGTGCACCTCGAGCGAGCGCGCTGCTAAAGCACGGTGGAAGGCATGCCTGTTTGAAAGGGCGAGCGTTCCAAAGACACGCCCTGGCGCTTTCATTCCGTCAGTGAGCATAGGCCCTTTCCATGGCGAACGCCACCTGGCGGCGTTCCAGTCTTCGACGTCCCAGGTAACTTCCGGTTCATAAAAAATAATGAACAAGGCACACTTTGACACAGCCGCTTGAAATGGCGTTGAAACGTTTAACCACCAATTTTCCAGCTAAATGGAAAAAGAACGAAAAAGTGGGAGATATCTGTTAAACATTTTCGAATATTCTTGTAAACCAACTTGCCTCCTCGAAGTCGTTAAATTGTACAGCCGAAGGCCCTCGTTAAATCTCCAACTTTGTTGTCCGTGTAGCATTTATGCTTTATATCACTGGTGACGTAATCAAGCTCAACAGGCTTGCAACAACGGAACCACCGGAAATCGCTTGGGACACAAGCAGCGGTTCGTGTTTGTAAACAACAAAATGATCTATTAACCTTCGAGAATGCGAGAAACACCCTTTGCTCACCAATTTGTGGAGTTTTAAAGCATACGCCAAGTCCCTTCAGAAAGAACCTCCACCAAACTTCGACTGCGACGCACCTGGCCACTGCACCCAAATGCCCACTCTCTCTTCTATCTCCCACCCGCGCCCGGGTAAGGGTGCTGATAGTTCGCTCTCGTAGTGTAAACACTGGGAAAGGTGCCGCGCTTAATCTAATCACGAGTGTTCACGTCATTATAGCGGGAGATAAGGCTCCAAGAGGTAGCGCTCTTCGTGATAGCTGGCCCTCTTGTTCAGGGCAGTCTGATGTCATCATCCTACGCGCATCAAGGAAGAATTTCTTTACTTCTCCAAGTAGAGAAAGCAGGCGTCAGTGTAATATTTCTTTTCAAAGCCGTATTAAACTTGTCATATTTCCACAATAAAAGAATTTAATGTAGTTTTCTTGAAAAATGCACCTTTTGCTTCGAAACCGAGATTTTTTTACGTTTGTACTAAAAGCAGAATAAAAATATAGAAAGTTGAAGTTTCATTCGATCTATTGTGAACCGGAAAATCCTTCACTGGAGACACGTGGTCTTCTGCCGTTACGTCACGTGAACATGTAACAAACTTTCACAAGTTATTAAACCATGCCAAGGGACGTCAGGTCACCTGACGTTACTATGTCACGGGATATCGTGACACTAGGTGCATGACGTCACCGAGTTGCGTAACACCGTGACATCGCGGTGTCAAAAGTCAAAGGTCAAACGAGACCCCGAGGTAACGTGGTCCCATGGTATTAAATTTTCGTCGACTTTTCAGAATAATTCCCTAGCCCAAAGAACGCGTGCTTCGTCATTAACTGAAGCACATTCAGAACACAGGCTAGTTTTTGTACGGGATTTTTTTTTTCTTTTTCTAGTAACAGAATGGTTTTGACCATTTCCGAAATTATATAACAACATATTTATTTTTGAGCCAAATTTTTAAGCTTAACTAAGTTTGTTAAATGAATAATCATATCTAGAGTCTTTAAGACGAAATATACGAGTGATAGGGTATGCAGTGGGTTTAAATTAGCCAAACAATAATTAATTTGTCCAGAAACTGCAGAATGAATCCAGGATCGACTCTTATTTTGTACCGACTGCTCAAATTCTTACTATGTGACTACACGCGTTCTATGCATATTTCTATGGATTGTTATACGAATGACGTACATTAGTACAAGTAACGTAAATTCCTTTCTCAACGCTCCTGTCTGGAGATGGACTTTTTAGACCAATGGCATGTCCAGATGGAGCCCCTGGTAGAAAAATAGGTTGTTATATATCCAAAAATTATTACAGGACATATGTTCTGATTTTCATATGGTCATGGTTTCACTTTAAAAACACACAATGATTGTTGAAGTATTCATTTCAAAATACAGGTTTACTATTTTTTTTATATTTGCAACACGATTTGAAAATATGACAAAAAATATTTCGCCCATGGCGTCCTAGGTGTCCGAACTTGGGTCGAGTCTGCAGCGTACCTTAGCAGTTCGAGTAAGGTACGCATTATCTTTAAGGTTTTTAATACCTGTAAGATGAGCTATTGCTTCACCAAACGGCTTGTAACTGGATCAGCGAAATACGACGTGATTTACTTGGGCAGCCAACAACGACAGCAGTCGACTCGATTACTTCATGCGTTGGTATGATACTTCAGTAGATCACAGGTACCGAAACGTCACACACGTCTATCTCCACCCATAGCTCACAACTTGAGCCGATACTTTCGCAGCGTATTACTTCATGATTACGGTTTCTGCCTCCTGATAAGTACGTTCCAGGAGCACGGTCACCTCAGCGGCGACAGTCCAGGCCAATCGCTGCAATTTCTCGTCGCAAATAGCAGTTTCCGATTGTGCTTTGGCAAATGAAATTAATTGATTTCTTGCAACTCCCTATTGATGCTAAATCAACCAATTTTATTTCTGTTTTATAAAGCTCAGAGTTGAAGCTAGTAGCCTTATGCGTGTCTCAAAGAATTACGTAATCACTCGGACTGATCGCCATACAAAGTGCGTCAATATTACCCCCTGCTTCTGGTTAGGTCCGAAAGAAGTGAAGGAAGCAGTAGATATATTAAATAGAAAAGTGTAGTCGCACCGCAGTGTTCAAATTCACTTCCTTCAAAATCTAAAATGAGTCCTATCAAAACTTTTACAAACCTGGAGAGGATTTTGTTGTCGTGTGCTGTCCGGTGTGTACACTCCAAAGTGCTGAGCTCTCGATAAATCCAGCTTGATACACACCCGGGGACAACGCTGTAATCAGACTCCCTGACACCGAAGTTTAAGCAAAAGAAATGTCGAAACATGTGACAGAAGGCGATTCACTCAAGGATGTAGGACTGACTCGCCGGCAATCAGACACCTGCCTCGCGGAAAGATAAGGAAGATCTTTTTTTTATGCCACAAATGTCGCCGTAATAGCGTTTGTAACTTTCTTTTCATTCTGCCCTCGAAAGGTCAACGCAGTGAAAAAACGTTCTTGATTGATAGGTCAGCCCCATATGCAGTTACGAGTGGAACAATTACGTGGTGCCTTTGCAGCCAGGAAATTTGAGGTTAAGAATTACACACAATGGAATA